AATCAGCTCTTCTTTATTCTCTCTTAAATACTCATGAACTACCACGGAACCAGTGGTTTCACTTATGATTTTTTTACCCTAGAACCTGTAGAAATACTCCTTAAATTATCGTAAAAAAATTAAAATAGCCTTATTTATTGCACCTTATTTTCCATATTTTAAACAACATCATTTCAAGATTTGAATATCATTTAACGATTAAAAATCTTATGTTTTGTGATGAAAAGAACATTCTCATTTTCAAATTATAATAAAACTTATCCTCATATTATGAATAACGAAAACGTAACTAAATAAACATATACCGTTATTCTAATCTATTTATATATTATTTATTAAAGAAAATCTTGTTCCTTCTACACTTTTCTAGCTCTTCCGGCCCTATACCCTGCGATAAATATTTCAGAAATACATTGGCTGATAATAAAAATCAGGGTAACATGAAGTTCGGTTTTACCCTAAATTATCCAAAACCCCGTCAACTTGAAGAAACGCATAAAGCCCTGCTTGTATTTGTAGATTCACCTTAAAATAATGCAAAATATCTAAAAGTGAAAAGTGAAAACACTGCACGGACGCGCCGTGGTCGTGTTGGCGGTCCGTAAATATTTTAGCACCAATGCACCAGTCGGTGCCATTTTGTCTATTCAATGACCCGGTCCATACAATAATCTTTTAACATTCCTCAACTCGGGAGAACAAAAATCGGGATCGTATGCAAAAATGTTTGGCACCGTCAATGTATTTATCCTCTGTAGATTATAAGATACTTTCTGCGTTTACAAATCGATCTTACACGATGCTATTTCAATAAAATACGGAATTAAAGTTAACCATCGTGATGATAACTTGAAAAATTTCACGTAAAAATATTAATTTGCTTTATTATACTCTTTCTATTCCTTTATGGAGTGTCGAAGTAAGCAGTACCAACTCCCAAACTAGAATAGTTGAAAAAGTGGTCATCTGTAAGCAATAAATAACAACTCAAAACTCTCCACAACAGCGCTGGAGTAGCTACTGGTATGAAATGAACTTAGCAGTTGTCGATGGTTTAAGTGTGTTGCTAAACTGCTCAGTAGCTCTAAAATCTAAAATATTTTATTTAGTAAATATAACCTCGAAAAAGTCGTCTATCCCACTACAACATTTCTCGTTTTACTTTTTACAAATCCTATCATAAATATGTATTTTTTACATGGTGGTAAATACCTCATTAAATTGATTAATATAAATTTACCCTGTTGCTATTGTATCGCCACCCTAATTTAACGCATTTCGACGGACACCTTTTCATAGACAGATATGGTCTTCTTTATTGTCTGTTATCATCATCATCCTTACAGCCCTTCACAAGTTCGCTGCTGAACATAGGCCTACCCCAAAGAATGCCACAAAGCACGGTCCTGAACCACCTGCAGCTATCGACTTCCTGCATGTCCTATCAGGTCGTCACTCTATCTAGTGGGGGGTCGCCCTACACTACGCCTACCGGTACGAGGCTTTCACTCGAGGACCTTTTTTTTATTGTCTATGTATCCATAAAAAAACGAAACAAAACAGTGGCTGCGTTTAGGAGAATAAAGCGCTAGAAAGCGCTTGTAAGCAAAATGGCGATCGTAAGCGGTAAGTGTTGTCAAATCGTAAGTTATTGTCGCTATTTTCCTCTAGGACTTGAAGTTAGTTTTAACCGGTGAACCTAACCTAATTTAAATATATGTTTGAAAAGTAATCATATTAAAAACTTACCAATCATGAATTTTTAATAACATGTATATGTTTATTCATACCATTGTATTACTTAAAACTAATATTGCAAAAAAAAAACTTATAAACTCTACTTCAAAAAACATACATAAACACTCACGCCTGTCACCCAGAGGGGTAGGCAGAGACTACAGACTTCCATTTAGCACGATCCTGACATACCTTTCTCGCCTCTTCCACATCATTATACCTACGCATACATGCTCGTCGGTTAGGGGTACTCTTAATTTGGCCCATTTTTAGTATATCGCCAATTTGGTCGACAAAATTCCGCCTAGGACGTCCCTTTCCGACTCTTCCATTCACTTCTGCAACATATATTTGCTTTGTCAGTCTTTCCGCATTCATTCTTTCTACATGACCAAACCACCGAAGCAATCCTTTCTTAATCCTGGTCACCGCATCATCTTGCAAACCACACTCTTCTTTTATCACACAGTTTCTCACCCTGTCACTCAGATTCAGCCCTAACATACTCCTTAGCGACCGCATTTCTACTGCATTTATTCTACTCTCGTGCTTCTTCTGCCACACCCAACTTTCACTACCATACGTTAAAGTAGGGACTAATACAGCACTGTGAATTGCTATACGTGCCTTTTTTTGACACATTCTGACTTTTCACAATAGAGTGTAGAGCCCCATTTACTTTATTTGCTGCATTCACTCGTCGTTCAATATCCTTATCATATCTCCCATCCCTGCTGAATACACATCCCAAATATACGAACTCATCCACTTGCTCAATTAACTCTCCTTCTATTCTTATTTCACATACCGTCATCTCTTTCAAAAACCATCACTTTCGTCTTACTTGCGTTCACTTTCATTCCCCTTCTTTTAATGACCTGTTCATTATTGTAACCACCATTTGCAACTCGGCCGCCGACGACGCAAGTATGACTTGATCATCGGCGTACAAAAGGCATTTGATGGTTAATTCACCCATTCTTAACCCGCATTCTTCAACTTTCAAATTTTCCAAACAGCTGTCTATAAATAGGTTGAACAGCCACGGGGAAGATACACAGCCCTGTCTGACACCTTTATGGATGCCAAACCAGTCCGAGTAGACCCCGTTGATTCTAACACAAGCACTCGAGTCCCTATACAGAGACTTTAATGCCTGTATCAAACCAGCGCTCAACCTAAATGCGTTCAGCGTTTGCCATAACACATCCCTGTCCACTCTGTCATAAGCCCTTTCCAAGTCCATGAACGCACAAAAAACTTTTTGGTTTTTCGCCAAAAACTTCTCCGCGCTCGTGCGCATGGAAAAGACTTGATCTGTACACCCCATTCCCTTTCTAAATCCCGCTTGCACATCCCAAATTTTTTCATCAGTTTCTTTCATAACTCTTTCAATTAGTACCTTAGCATACAGTTTTCCCACAATGCTAAGAAGGCTGATACCACGGTAGTTTTTAACGTATTGTCTTTCCTTTCATTCGTTCTCTTATTAACACCACATACTTCGGTAGCTGCATCCACTAAACCTTTCTTAACATTATGCCACACATTCTCCAAGTCTAACTCATTCACACACAACTCATCCAAATTACTTATATTTTCTCTCAGTCTGCATTTGTACTTGTCTTTCACATCTTCATCTTGTAACGTACCCCTGAATAAACCCCTAATTCGGCATAAGACCAGGTAGTGGTCCGTCCCTACGTTGGAACCCCGGTAAACCCTTGTATCCACCACTGCGCTCCTCATTCTTTCATCCACAGTTATGAAATCTATCATGCTTCTATCATCACCTCTTTCCCAAGTATACATGTGAATCTTCTTATGACGAAAGAAAGTGTTCGTCACAAAAAGATTCCTTTCCACACATACGGTGAGTAGGCTTCCACCATTCTCATTTATACTTTCATCACCAAACGTTCCCAATACCCTTTCATAACCAAGCCTCCTCACCCCAACCCTTCCATTAAAATCTCCTAGCATAATAATATTTTCATTTCCCTTACACTTCATTAACACCATCCTTACCATTTCCCAAAACTGCTCCCGGATATAAGTGGGCTTAGACATATCTGGGGCGTAGACCCCTAACACAAACAACTTCTTTAAGCCCACTTTCATACGTATCCATAGCAGTCTTGGGCTTACACATTCATACTCTTTCACACATTGGCTCATTCTTTCTGAAAGGATGATACCTACTCCCTGGCATGCCCGCTCGATCTCGTCTACACCAAACCAGTATGCGATATACATGCCATGTGCAGTGACATCCTTCCCCCTTCCTTTTCGTCTCATTTACACATAATACATCTATTCCTCTATCATACATCATATCGCATACTTCATCCATTTTATCATTCATTGCCCCACATACATTCAACGTAGCCAGACGGACCTCTGCAATCCACTTTTCGCCTCTCTGGGAGACAGAACGTGACGGGTGGCGAACCTCGTCGCCGGTTTTCCTCCCGGAGATCCTTTGCACCACTCTACTTCAAAAAAAAAAACAATTTAAATAAGCAAAATGGCAGTTTGTGTCAGCGCTACTGAAGTTAGCAAACGTGTCCTGGCCGAAAACTGTTTAGTTTCGCCATTTTGCTTACAAGCGCTTACTAGCGCTTTTTTATGCCAAACGCACCCAGTGTAACCCAGTGGGTGCGTTTGGCAGAAAAAAGCGCTAGCAAGCGCTTGTAAACAAAATGGCGATCGTAAGCGGTAAGCGCTGTCAAATCGTAAGTAGTTATTTTCCTCCAGGACACGATGTTAGTTTTAACCTCGGAACCTAACCTAATTTAAATATTTGTTTGTAAAGTATTCATATTAAAAACTTACCAATCATGAATTTTTAATAACATGTATAAGTCTATTCATGTCATTATATTACTTAAGACTAATATTGCACAAAACAACTTATAATTTCTACTTCAAAACAAACAAATTAAATAAGCAAAATGGCGGATTGTGTCAGCGCTACTGAAGTACAAATCGTGTCCTGGCCGAAAACTATTTTAGCGCTTGTAAGCGCTTGCTAGCGCTTTTTTCTGCCAAACGCACCCAGTGTGTAACCTGTTTATTTACTCTATGCAGTTGACACTTGACAGCACAGAGATAAACTGGCAGATGACAAATGACAGATGTGTAAACAGAGGAGTAAACTTCGCGCGGGATGAGAAATGTTATTTATGAGAATGTTATTTATTGTGTTTTCTAATTATTTGAAGTATTCTGTATGATAAGTTTTTAAGCTTTCTTTTATAAATATGACCGAAGATATCAGTGTGACGTTTATAATACCGAAAGAATGTGTTACAGAAAATGATTGCTCCGATGAAATGAAGCTTGCGTTTACCGTAAGTTTTGTATGTTTTTAGGATGTAAAAGAGGGTTTGGTGTTAACATTATAGTTCAAGAAAAATGTGTAGTATGGGATAAAATAATGCTTTTGCGTTTATTGAAACAATAGCCTTTTTTTGGATATCTTCGTCAAATGCCATAAAAAAAGTAAACTAAAATGTTACATGTTTGTGTATATAATAATGAATCGGGAGAAATATTTTCAAACTAAGTAAATTAATTTTTTTTTATATTTTAAAGAATGACTAATTAGCACAGTCTGCCTGGTGGAAAATGTATGCTTTGGCCATTGATGTAAATGACAAGATATGGTTGTGCGAACAAAAATGTTTCATGGTTTAAGCATAGAATAAAATCAGCTCTTCTCTATTCTCTCTTAAATACTTGTGAACTACTACATATCAGTGTTTTCACTTATCATTTTGGTTTTACCCTAGAACCTGTAGAAATACTCCCTAAATTATTGTAAAAAAAATCAATATAGCCTTATTTATTGCACCTAATTTTCAATATTTTAAAGAATAACGTCATTCCAAGATTTGAATATCATTTCACGATAAAAAATATTGTGTTTTGTGATGAAGAAAAAGTTCTCATTTTCAAATTATAATAATACTTAGTCTTATATGAATAACAGATAAGTAAAATATTATACCATTATTCCAATATACAGAATGAAAACCTTTTTCATTCTACACTTTTCTAGCTCTTTTGACCCTATCCCCTTCGATTACAACAAATGGGTCATAGAATTGATATATAAATCTAATAACAGTTTTATGATTTTACAAAACACTTATTAAAATAAATTAAAACGAGTGGACATTATCATAATTTTAACATCTCAAAACTTGGACTTCTTGCAGGCATGTGAGCAATACAGTGGTGGAGGCCTTAAAGCCCAATGGGTTCACGAGGATAACTGGACCAAATTTGACGGTTTAACTAAGAAGGATGTATTTGTTCTGTCAGAATTTGAAGGGGAATTATATAATAAATTAAAATCCACAAAGTGCCTGTAAGTATATATTTAAAAAAGTTTAATTTATAATTTAAATTAATGGTATATTAATCACCCATAAATGTTATTGTGTGCATAATATATTATGACAAATATAATGAATATAACCTCGAGTTTTGTATTGGCAAAGGGTTTCTGAAATTTCAAACATGAGATATTTCACATTTGTGTGTTATTCTAAAATTTGAGATTGATGAATGTGATAAGGGTTTCTACTATTTAAATGCATAATAAATAACTTGATTTTTATAATACTCTACATAGCAATATCTTTTATTAAAATAAAGAGTGCATATAGTTTATCTACTCTGTAAACCGTACATGTTGTTATTAACAGGTTAGTGGGCCCTCGCTGTTTGTCATGTTCTTTAATAGAGGGAACACCCATACCTCAAGGACCTGAACCAGTCTTCACAATAGCTATGAGAGGCCTAGTGATTACTGCTAGTGGATTAACTAAAACAAAAAAGGTAACTCAGTAATTAGTTCCCAATATTGTATTGTTTTTTTTTTTATAATACAAGGGTGACAAACGAGCACACAGTCCATCTGATGGTAAGTGTTGGCTGTGGCTGATAGACATATACATCTTGAAATAATACTAGTTTTTACAGAATTTATCGCGTATATTTAACTTTTTAAATACCTGACGTTTCGAACGCTTTACAGCACTCATGGTCACGGGTGGGACTGAGATGTTCAACGTCCATATGTCATAGTTAACCGCGGTTACCATAGATTAAAATTTAACTTTTGTTCCGATCTATACAGTATGAATTTATGGTATCTTAAAGTCTTGCAGTTGTATGCTTGGGTTGGGATTTAATTTTATTTATTATCGGATCCCAAGCAGATGGTAGCACCCAGCCATCTTCTTTTTTGATTTCAATAGCCTCACGAATCATCCTTGGAAGGAATCGGTGTTCTTTAGCGAGGATTTGCCGTCTATCAAATCTGATGTGACGGGGGCGATCCTGTATGTGTTCACAGATTGCAGACTTCCCGGAGCGTCTATTCTTCACATTAGCTATATGTTCTTTAACGCGGGTTTTTATTGATCTTTTAGTTTGTCCTATGTAGGAGAGACCACATTCACAATCAAGCTTGTACACTCCTGCATCTTGCAGAGGGACATTACACTTGACTGATGGTAAAAACTGACCAATCTTCTTCAGCGGCTTGAAGTATGTTTTGATGGAAGCACGCTTCAAGATGTAGCCAATCTTGTCAGTGACTCCTCTAACATAAGGCAGTACAGCAGGTACACGCTCGGCTGTGGCCGGCTTCACTCATTTACTGTGACGTAGGCGCGGGACTCGAAGCTTGTTGTCATGCAAAACTTGCTTGAGATGGTGGAGCTCGGCAGACAGGTGTTTACTGTCACGGATCCCTCGTGCTCTCTGAAACAAAGATTTACCCACGGTAGCTAACTGCGAAGGATGGTGGTGAGAATCACCGTTTAAATATCTATCTGTATGGGTCTTTTTTCTATACACAGTATGGCTCAAGGTGTTATCAGGATTCCGAATTACTAACACATCTAGAAAAGCTAAGCAATTGTTTGCCTCTTACTCCATTGTGAACTGAATTTTAGAATTTATAGAGTTAGATGGTCTAAAAATGCAGTTACTTTATCTAAAGGTAGAATTGTGAAAGTGTCGTCGTGATGTTGGCGACAATGGGAGATACAGGTGAGCCCATCGCCACACCATCTACTTGCTTGAAGAACTCCTTCTTCCACAATAGGTAGCCAGATGTAAGGCAGTATCTGAGTAAAACTGCATATTCTACGGGCATGTTGTTTTCTTCCAGCCTTCTAGTTACAATTGAGATGCAGTCTTCAACAGGTAAGCATGTAAACAATGACTGCACTATCAAAACTGACCATAGTTTCATTGTCTGCCAGATGTAGGTCTTTAATCTCGCTGACAAAATGGTAGGAATCCTTTATGTGTGCTCTTGTATGTCCCCTGAGCGGTGAGAGTATTTTCGCTGTGATGAGCCAATCTGTAAGTTGGTGAATCGATTTGGCTCACTATGGGACGTAATGGAGCATTGGGCTTGTGTATTTTTTGGTAACCCATACAATTTTGGTGATTTGGCGCACGTAGGTATTATCCATTTTACGTCCAGATTTAATTTTTCAGAGTGTTTCTCTATGAGGTCACTAGTTGTTTTTAGTGTGCTATTTGTTGGGTCGTTTTTAACCTTTTTATAAGTACTTACATCCGACAAAAGTTCTTGTATTTTGAATTATAATCTGACGTATCCATGACTACCGTGGCGTTTCCCTTATCTGCGCGGAGAATCGTAAGTTCTGGTTTATTGCGTAGATATACATCTTTCCTCGATTACAAATCAAAATGCAGATGTGTTGACACCCATGAGGACTAAGATGGAATGCCTCAATTCCAGTAAAAGGGGTCTCCGATTGTCTACACTCACCATATGAAACACAGCAGCGTTTGAGCTACTATTTCACGCTGGTATTCTGTGAGATTGTTTTTCTATATTATGGCAATAATCATTGGACACTAATTTTCCATTATCCTATTTCATTGGTGTTGTGAGAGTGATTATAGGATATGCTATAAAGATCTTGTGCTTTTTGATAGATGGCCATATAATCATTTCAATCTTATTTACGTAAGAATAAAAATACTAGTATTGGCAATGGGGAGAAGTTAAGGTGTGGTTCTGGTCTCGTGGTCAAGCATAACTATAAAGTAGAAAATCCTCCCTATAAAGGGAGAGGACCACAGCTAGCAGTGAACTTGTATGGGCTGATGAAGAAGAAAGAGGAATTTTATTACAAATAAGTATGACCTTATGTCTACGTACATAAAGCCTTTTCTCCTTTGGACATATTGTTGATTGCAAGTGTTCTATTATTTTTCCACTGAAAGAGGAGAATGTTTGAATGAACCTGAATGATTTTAGATAGTGCAATATTTCTCTTATTGGGAATAAAAGCATGCACTGACGATTGGAGAATTAAGTGACTATGGGCAGTTGACCTACGACATCTGCGATTATTAAGGACCTCTCCAAATAACCTTAACAATTTTAAATGACGTAATTGTATACTTGCTGTGTGTGTGAAAGGACGCATCCATTTGTATAATAAATATTAATTGGCTTTTTTCACCCCATAAGTAATAATATTATTAACTTTATGTATCTAAGTTTTTAAGTGTATTTTTAAATTCATGTTTTTGTATTATAAATATAATATTTGTATAATACTTACCGTATTGCAATTAATAGAAAACTTTTATTTTATTGCTATGTAGTAATGGTGTAAGTGAACTCACTACTCAATTTCTATCTTCCTGGTAACAACTCAATACTTATAATATCTGCGGTTGACAAACCACCTGCTAAGCATATTGGGAAGGGGGGGGGGTAAGGGCTTTGTTCAACAGTGGACTTTTGTTAGGCTGTAATAAGTGAATGAATACTTCATGAAGGAATGTGTTTGTGACCTATTTTTCACCATGTCACCATGGTTTATATTGATGTTATGGCAGCTAACTTATTTGGCGATGGCTTAACGACGAAATAACTGATCTTTCTTTTTTTAGGAGAATATAAAACAAAAAGTGCACTGGATGGGCGGGTTATACAATACTGTTCTGACGGAAGAAACTACCCATCTGGTATCTGACACAGTACTTTCGGACAAATATATTGTAAGTACTTAAGTAGTATACTTTGTATATATATTGTGATCATCATCATCACCATCACCATCATCATTGCATCCCTTCACAAGTCCACTGTTGAACATAGACAAACAAAGCACGGTTCTTGGCTACCTGCATTCACTGCCTGCATGTCTTATGTAGTAGTGTCAAGGTAATATTATTCTTATTTTGTAATTATAAATATAACCAAATGTTAGCAATGTTACATGGTACAAGATTTTATAATAATATTACACAAACATGGTTGAATACCAGACCTATACTTTAAGATTCTGGTCCCACACACAAGGCTTAAACATTCTAAAACCTTAATCCGGGCTTTTGATCGTAAATTCGCTTTAGAAACCCTGGAATTACGTAAAAATAAATTGCGTATTCTGGCAAGATCCCTAACTGGACACTGTTGTCTTAAAAAGCACATGTCCATCCTGGTACTAAGCAACTCAAGGATGTGTCGGTTCTGTTCCATAAGAAACTCCTCTACACATCCTAACTGATTGCGGACCCGTAATGCGCAAATGTAACACTCATCTGGGAAACTATGTACTCCACCCAGAAGAAATGAAATTGCTCATGGCTAAGAAACTCCTTCTATTCATTGAAGACAGAGGGCTTAGCCATGAACTATAGCCATAGCAGCGATCACAATAGATCTTCAAGTCGCAGTGATACTGGTCTCTTTCCCTAGACCTGCACAGCTGCTCGCATATAATAAAAAAAAATACTTTAAGACCATTTGGCTTAAAATGTTCAGTTCTTAAATTTTTATTTTTTTATTTTTATGAAATATAAATTACAAGAATAATTAAGTAATATTATAACTTTTGAAAAGTGAACATTACCTTTCTTCTTTTATATTCTAATAGTGGATACTTCACTGATGTACGTAATTAAGACACACTTATCATGATAAATCCATATCATCACTTGTGAATACGTGTGCCATAGAGCGGCGGGCAGCTCAAGACTTTCGTTCTGTCAGTTCCACTTTTAAAACACTATTCGAGCGTGCGCTAGTTACTCTTTCTGGAGTACGAAATTACTATGATTCTGAATAAAATTTGATTGATTCAGAACTCGACTGTCGAGAGTAAGCTGGATGGTTTACTAAGTTAAGTTAAAAGATTTTAATTGGTCCCCATCTAACACTCTTTAGCTTATGAGTGATAACTCTTGCAAACTAAAATTTTAACAGTGGTTGAGCCAGGCGGCAGCTTTGCTGTTGCACGTATGGGCCGGCTCAAACCGGGGTGGTACCACGACCTCACAGAATACCGGCGTGTAGTGGAAGCTCAGCTTCCGCGTTGTGTCTGGTGAGTGCAGGTATCCGGAGGCCCAATCCCCCCCCCCCCATAAACATTGTAGCGGAATTAAATATGAGACTACCCCAGAAGGGTACCAGCAACCCTAGAGAATTCCTCGCTGAGCATCCACGACCAAGTTACTCCACTCCTGAGTGTGGGTGCTCAGGATGCAAAGCACTCCTCTCCCTGGACATCCACAAGTCGAGTGGGCCTGACGGAATCCCCCCAATTGTGCTGAGGACGTGTGCTCCAGAGTTTGCACCGGTTTTAACGCGTCTTTCCGGTACTCCTATTCCCTAGGCGTAGTCCCGAAATCATGGAAGACGGCTTTCGTCCACCCGATCTCCAAAAAAAGGCGACCGCTCAGACCCGTCCAACTACCGGCCTATCGCCATCACCTCCTTGTTCTCCACAACAATGGAGTCCATTGTTAACTGCCAGCTCATGAGGTACCTTGAGGATCACCAGCTGATTAGTGATCGCCAATACGGTTTTCGCAGTGTTCGGTCAGCTGGTGATCTTCTGGTCTACCTAACTCACAGATGGGCGGAGGCAGTAGAGTCCAAGGGGGAGGCATTGGCTGTTAGTTTGGACATTGCGAAGGCCTTCGATCGGCTTTGGCACAAAGCGCTTCTTTCGAAGCTCCCTTCCTATGGGCTGCCCGAGAAATTGTGCGATTGGATCACCAGCTTTCTTGCAGATCGTTGTAGACGGTGCAAGCTCCGATTACACGCCTATTAATGCTGGTGTTCCACAAGGCTGCGTGCTATCGCCAACGCTGTTTCTTCTGCATATCAATGATATGTTGCAAACCCGTAACATTCATTGCTATGCAGATGACGGCACTGGTGATGCTCTGTACACCGGCCGTGCACATTTTTCTCGGGAAAACGTCTCCGAGTACCGGGACAAACTTGTGTCTGAAGTCGAGTCTCTGCTGAACAGAGTCTCGGATTGGGGGCAACTAAATCTAGTCCAGTTTAACCCCCAGAAGACACAAGTTTGCGCGTTAACCGCTAAAAAGAACCCCTTTGTCGTATCTCCTCAGTTTCAAGGCACTCCCCTTGTTGCCTCAGCCAGTATCGGAATCCTCGGCGTCGACATATCGAGTGACGTGCAGTTTTGTTGTCACTTGGAAGAGAAGGCCAAATTGGCCTCCAAAAAGCTTGGCGTGCTCAGCAGAGCGGGACAGTATTTCATGCCGGCACACCGCCTGTAACTTTACAAGGCGCAGGTTCGGCCGCAAATGGAATACTGTTCCCATCTCTGGGCTTGGGCTCTCCAGTACCAGCTCCTTCCACTTGACCGCATCCAGCGCAGAGCGGCTCGAATCGTCGCCGACAGAGTGCTTTCCGATCGGCTCGATTCACTGGCGCTGCGAAGAGATGTTGCATCCCTTTGCATTTTCTTTCGCATATACCATGGGGAGTGCTCTGAGGAATTGTTCGGATTAATCCCAGCCGCCAAATTTCGTGAACGCACTACGCGGCAAACGTCCCGATACCACCCACACCATCTCGATGCTTGGCGGTCCACCAATGTGCGTTTCAAAAGGAGTTTTCTTCCGCGTACGACCTCTCTGGAATAGTTTACCACCAGCGATTTTTCCGGACCGATGCGACCTGGGGACCTTCAAAAAAAAGAGCTTACTCCTTTCTAAAGGGCCGGCAACGCACCTGCAATTCCCGTGGTGTTGCGGTTGATCATGGGCGGCGGTAGTCACTTAACATTAGATGAGCCGCATGCTCGTTTGCCCCTCTTCTATAAAAAAATAAAATAAAATATAACAAATCAAAACTATATATTTATTTGGAATTTAAACTAAAATGTTTTTTTTTTGTGTTTAGTTGTTTATGATTACATTGTAATGTTTTTAAATAGTTTGATATTGCTGATCTCTTGTCTACTTAAATTGTTAAAATTAACCTTTTTTTAATAGTTTATATTAGAGTTTAAGTGATTCTAAATAAGTAATTTTGTAATATTGTATATGTACTAGTCTCTCTAAGTTTTCCTTTACATTTCTCACTTTTGTAATTTATCTTATAAATTATTTGGGGCCAGTGGTGTTGGCTTTACAAATTTAAATTTTAGCATTAAGGACATATTTACATTTTTGACATTCTAGAAGATATTCTAATTGCAAGCTGTCTTACACTCGCACACATTGAAACAGTTTTCTCCTATATTTTATATATTATACGTAACTAAATACTTGCGACAAACGAAGGTCGAGAGACGGAGCACTGCGTACATTTTAGATGAAGCCGAAACCATGCTCAACTTTTTGACACGCACTCTTGCATAGCTCTTTTTTCTTTTTTTCTTTATCAGCCTGCAAAAGTTTAACTAGCTTGTAAAAGATAGGTACATTTAGCAAACTTTTATCTAATTTCTCAAAATTTTTCGTTTTCTTTTTTTTTCTTTCTTGTAACTATTTTCCTAGGGGTTTATCAAATTGACTATATTAATTTGTTTCGTAAAATTGTCGGCCATTTGAGATAATTTAAGCATTGAAATTAACTAAAAGACAAATTAAGAAAATCTCTGTTTAGTTTTCTTGATAGCATACACAAATACTGTATTAAAAAAATCTGTTATAACTACATATTTAGACCATAAAATTTCTTAAAGTTGTGAGTAATACACATTTATGTAATATAAGCGGTTGATGGACATTACCAGGTTTGAAAGATACTGTTTTGAGCGAATCGGCGGTCGGAATGTGAATACGTCCTTAAGATTAATTATTAACCTTCTGTGAAGTTGTTTACTGGCCCTTAATTAAAAAAAAACATTATTTCAGAAATCAGTGGAGAAAGGTATTCCAATAATGCATGAGAATTGGATTGAGGCAGTATGGGAGGCATCACTGAAGCTCAATATCAGCGGTTCTTCGTCAGATTTCGACTGTCACCGTCTACCAGCCTTTGCCAATCTCCAAGTCACAACTTCCGGTATCCCTAAGAAGGAGAAACAGATGATAATGAAGTTGGTTAACGAGAACGGGGGAATGTTCTCTGGTGCGTTTCAGAGTGAGACCACTGATGTCGTGGTGTTGACCAAGTAAGTTGAGAATACAGACAAACAAAAATTTTTTTCTAAAATTGAATTTATGAACATATTTACAGCCCACCTGATGGTAAGTGGCTATAGCAGCCCATGGACACCTGCAATCAAATGCAAATAAGAATGCTACCACTGCGTTTTCGCCTCTGAGGACTAAAATAGAATGCATCATGGCTTGTAATTATACTGTCTCTCTGTACTCAGCAATGCACGCAATGCTTTTTAGCGGAGAAATAGACAAGAAGTTGGTACTTGACAGACTCCTAGGCAGAGAACGAGTCCTACCACCTAGAAAGCAACCATGCTGAATTTATTGTAACTATATACAGAAATAGGTAAGAAGTTGGTATCTGTCTTGACAGACTCCTAGGCACAGAAGGAGTCCTACCACCTAGAAAGCATTCATGCTCAATTTATTGTAACTATATACAGAAATAGGTAAGAAGTTGGTACCTGCCTTGACAGACTCCTAGGCACAGAAGGAGTCCTACCACCTAGAAAGCAACCATGCTCAATTTATTGTAACTATATACAGAAATAGGTAAGAAGTTGGTACCTGCCTTGACAGACTCCTAGGCACAAAAGGAGTCCTACCACCTAGAAAGCAACTATGCTCAATTTATTTTAAATATATACACTTTGCTGTAGCTAGAGAGTATGAAATGAACTTAGCAGTTCTCGAAATGAGTGAAGTGTGCTGAGTTCAACTATAGTTGATGAAACTGCAGTATTTAAAACCTCAACTACTCACATTGTCTAAATAATTTAGTAAATATGACCTAGAAAAAGTCGCCGTGAACCACGTTGAGAGTTATTTTGAAAATAAAAATTTTGAAAACAATAAAATTATTATAAAAAAGAATTATGGTGAAAGTTTGTATACTAAAAAGTTCTTTAAAATTTATCCTCTTGGTACTATTTAACGTTTTCCTACGGACGCTTTTAAGCTATTGCATAGCCTTTATCGCGGGCTTTGAGAGCGGCGACCGACCCAAGAAATTCCGTAAGGAAAAAAACCTAACACCACAAAACTTAACATCGTCTAACGTCGTTTCAGTTCGGCAGACTTCGGCACGGTGTTTGTGTGCGTGCGACTAGACGTATGCGTGTAGTCTATTTGCATGTATTGTAAGATAGTAAAAATATTTTAAACAATAATATATAGTTTATTGCAAGAAGCATATTCTTTGGATTTATATAAGTCGTCGTCATGCAAGCAACTTTCGTAAATTAAGAGTATTTAATAAACGCAGACTTTATAGAAAATTATCGTTTCTCGGAAGAACTCGTTATATAAACCTATAGTTTCAATGATATTAATGAGTATTAAGATAATAAAAATATTTTAAACAATATTAACTTCTCATTTATTCAATAACAGAAAAAAATTTTGTTTTCTTATCGGTCACCACGCTCAAAAAGTGAAACTTGAATTAATATTAAAGAAAAAAAAATACTGCATAAATAAAATAAATAAATAATTATAATTGCATAAGTTGATAAAAATGCTATGCAATAGCTTAACCGCGACAGTCCCCGGGTGCTACACGTATTTTTAATACACAAAGACTGTTCTCCTTACCTCTACATTCCATGGTTTTAATAAACCAAATGAGCTTACTATTGACACAACTAGTCGACCAAAAAATCCATTCAACTGTTTTCGTTTGACATCCATCTAACTTAAAGGGATGGGCCATGTTATAGTGGTTTATATGTACACTTGAAATGTACGTAGTGTTTGAGTTTAGGAAATGAATTTAATTATTAGTAGTCTGTATAATTAAAGACGACAAGGAAATTGTAAAGAGTTTTATGGAATCTTGACACACGGCGGTGTGTTAGCCGACATCGGAAAAGAAAAAGCTGACGCACCGACTTTGCTTATTAAATAAATAAAAATAAATTTATTTTTCAATAGACATTTTAATTCAAATTGGTTATTTATTATATACCATTTAAATCCACTTTTGAACTTCTCATAACTTAAAATAATTATTCTGAGCTAGGAGAAACAGAAGAACCGTGGTAGCTCAGAGGTTAAGTGCTCTTTGTAAATTTTCAGTTCGATACCCGCCGGCACTTATATGTGGGGAGGTCAAATAGTTCGCAGAACGAAATTAAACATGAAATTATTTTTCCTTTTCGACCTCATTTCCTTTAACATTAATACACTTCTCAATCATCATCATCATTCATCATTATAGCTCTTTACAAGTCCACTGCTGAACATAGGCCTCCCCCAAGGAATACCACAAAGCACGGTCCTGAGTCACTTGCAACCATCGACTTCCTGTATGTTACACCAGGTCGTCAATCTATCTAGTGAAGAGTCGCACTACTCATCGCCCACCTATACGAGGCCTTTTTCCCCCCACTCGTGAACCTTTTTTCCCCATCGGTTGTCGGTTCTTGGAGCTATATGGCCGCCCCATTACCACTTCAGCTTACTAATCCGTTGGGCTATGTCGGTCACTCTGGTTATACTGCAGATATCCTTATTTCTAAGTTTATCACGCAGAGAAACCCTGAGCATAGCCCTCTCCATACATAGTCATCTCCAACAGCTATCTACAGAATCTCTTAACAGACTTTCTCTCGTGCAATGAAATCTAATTAAGAACTCAAAAAATAAAATGCTAGATCTTGTCTCGTCTAATACTAACATTGTTGATATTCTGTCATGTCCTGATCCTTTGACATGTGTTGATCCCCTTCATCCGCCATTAGTTTTTTCGCTAGATTTTACAGATCCGGTACCACTAGTCCCTAATAACACAATTACAAAATTTTGCTTCCACAAGGCTGATTATGAAAATATAAGGAAGGATCTAAATGAAATTGATTGGAGGGAAATTTTGGGTGAATGTCTTTGTGTTGATGATATGGTTGCAGTATTTTATGACATAATTCGTAAGTTAATACGGAAATATGTACCTAAGGCTAAACCGCGTAGTCATAAATACCCAGTTTGGTTTACTCCGTGTCTGATAAAATGTATTAAAGAAAAATATAAATATAGGATGAAAGTTCGCAAATATAACAATCCTCGCGATAAACTCTGTTTTGACTTACTGAAAAGAAGATGTGAGGATATGCTAGCATACTCCTACGCTAAGTATATAAAATGCCTTGAACTCTCTTTAAAGTCAAACCCAAAGTTGATTTGGTCATTCCTAAAACAAAAGAAAGGTAAAAGTTCGTATCCTTCTAAAATTAAAGACGATAATAAATTTGTTTCCAATGGAACAGACATTTGTAATGTTTTCGCTAGTCATTTTTCGTCAGTATACAGTCGCAATAATAATATCCAAAACTTCGATACTAGTCCTAATCTTATGAACCCTTGTTGCAATGTGTACCTTGATTATATATCTTATACAGTGGACCAGGATTACAATGTTTTAAAAAGACTTGACATTAAGAAAGGAGCTGGAGCAGATGGCATTCCATCAATATTTGTACGCAATTGCGCTAACGCATTGGCTTTGCCTATTGCACTGATAATCAATAGATCTCTTAGGACTAGTACATATCCAACCTTATGGAAAGAAGCCCTTGTGTTGCCTTTGTTCAAAACCGGTGACAAAGAGGAAGCTAAAAATTATAGACCTATTTCCATTATTTCTGTTTTTTCAAAAGTGTTTGAGAAACTTGTATATCCCGTTGTTTCATGGCACTTTAAGCAATTTGTTACATCTGAACAGCATGGGTTTGTGAAAGCTCGATCAACAGTAACTAACCTAGTTTCCTTTGTGGAAGACATTACTGAATCTCTTGATACTGGTCAATCCGTTGATGCAATCTACACAGATTTCAGTAAGGCCTTTGACAAGGTTGATCACTCTATTTTACTTGCCAAACTCAAAAGGATAGGTATAGCAAACCCTTTGCTGGACTGGTTTAAGTCATATCTTGCCAATTGGTCGTCAACTGTTGTTGTTGATGTTTATGCTTCTGAGCCGTTTTTTGCCTATACTGGCGTACCTCAAGGATCTCATCTTGGGCCTTTGCTGTTTAACATTTTCATCAACGACATCAGTAATTGCTTTAAGAATTCGAAATCTTATTTGTTTGCTGACGATCTAAAGATCTTTAGACCTGTCTCCTCAAATTCTGATGCAGAATTCTTACAGGAAGACTTAAATAACTTGATATTATGGTGTCGTAGCAACGGTATGACACTAAATGCTGACAAGTGTCAAGTTATAAAATTTTCTAGAAAGAAAACATCTCTTGCAACAACATATTACATTAACGGTCGTATTCTGTCTGAAGTTCCCCACATACGCGATTTAGGAGTTATGCTTGACAATAAGCTTCGTTATAATATCCACATAGATAATGTTGTCAACAAGGGTTTTAGGACTCTTGGCTTCCTCTTCCGTAACTGTAAGGAATTCAGGGATACTCGCACTAAAATAATTATTTACTCAGCCTTGGTACGAAGTATCTTGGAATACTGCAGCGTAGTATGGAATCCCCACTTTAATATTTACTCACATAGAATTGAAAGGATACAAAAGAGATTTCTTTTGCATTTATCTTACGATCATAACCTAGTTAAAACTCTTAGAACTTACGAAGATAAGCTAAATTACTTTAAGCTTCAGTCACTTTTGAATCGAAGACAGCTCCTTGACCTTATTTTCTTGTATAAGTTGGTGAATGGCGTCATTGATAGTTCTTACTTACTAGCCAAATTAAATTTTCGTACCGCATTGAAGTCAAAAAGGCCGTCGTCTTATATACCATTCGTAGAAAAGAGCACACGTTCTCGTCAAGCGCGCTATTCTCCGATTAATAGACTGATGTTGAGTTTTAATGCTATATATAAATTATCACATAAGAATAGTATTGGTGCCATAATGACTAATGATAACAAAAATAAAGATAGAAAAGTTGATATTGACATATTTTCAGATAATCTTTGGAAATTTAAACGTGATTTATTACATTTATATTCCTCAAATAATTGTAATTCACAGTAAAATTATATTATTTTTCTTTAAGCTAAATTGTGATTAGGAAATGATTGTATATTATAATTTATTAATGATTTTATTTTTGTTATGTTTAACGTTCATAAAATTTCTAATGTTAATAACAATAGTGGAATATGCATGATTTAATTTAATTAATTATATAACACTAAATTCTGATATATTTATTGATCTCTTAATTTTTGTATTGAATTTAATTCACTGCATATGTTTTACTTGTGTCTATTTTTTTGTAATGAAATGTGTGTAACACCTATAATTAAGTCTACACTTAGTTTTTATGATTTTTTGCAAAAATATTATGCTTTTGTTAGTGTATGTCTTGTTGGTGTTAAATAAATAAATAAATAAAATAAATAAAAAATAAAAAATAGCTCGCTGAGCGACCTTGAACACCTTAATACAGCCAGCAATAAAGGACCACGTTTCAGATCCGTAAGTTTTCAGGTTTTGAGTACTACTTGACGAGAAGATGTGACTTAATTTCAAACAAAACACTGCCCAGCCGAGTTGAATCCGGCTATTGATCGAAGTCGCTTGGTTGAAGTTGGAGTTACCTCGTCGGACTATTTGTCCCAAGTAAACATACTTGTCAACAACTTTGTGCTTAGTGCTCCCAACAACGACCGGCATAGGTGTGACATGGACATTAAACATGATCTTTGTTTTGTCCATGTTCATCTTAAGACCTATCCGTTGGGTGACACTCTTGAGGTCACTGAGCAGAGTGCTTAGGTCCTCCAGCGATTAGGCCTTAAGAACTACATCGTCGGCAAATCGAAGGGGAGTGATGTACTCGCCATTGATGTTAATACCGTATTATTTACAGGTCCAGTAGCTTGAAAACGTCTTTCAATGCAGCGGTGAAGAGTTTCAGGGATATAACATCACCCTGTCTTACACCAATCTGCAGTTGGATAGGTTTCGTACTCTGGTTCTGTATTTGGATAGCCATCGTAGCCCTACTATACAAACACTTCATCACTTCGATATACCGACAGTCAACTTGGCACCGCTGAAGGGACTGTAGCACCTTCCAAATTTCGACGGAATCAAAGGCTTTCTCATAGTCCCCATACGCCAGGCAAAGTGGCAGATTGTACTCTTCGGTCTTCTGTACAATCTGCAGCAGGGTATGTATGTGGTCTATGGTACTGAAGCCTTTCCGGAAACTGGCTTGTTCGGGAGACTGGAAGTCATCGAGTCTGCGTGCGAGACGATTCGTAATAACTCTCGAAAACAGCACGTTGACGCGGCTCAGAAGGGAAATCGGTCTGTAGTTCTTCAAGAGATTGTGTTCTCGAAGAACAAGACCATCGCACTTCTGCTCCACGTTTCCGGAGTAGTTCCACCATGGAGAACTGAATTAAAGAGCTTTTGAAGTACCTCAAATACTGGTTTTCCACCAACTTTCAGAAGCTCCGCTGTAATTCCATATCCAGGATATCATCGGAATAGTGTCGGATAAGATTGCTCTTGGGTCGTTATTTATATTTGCGTGTGGCTCCAACGATGATTGTACAGCAGCCCCTAGAACCTCTCAGTCTCACTCAGAATCTCAAGTGTCCCGGAAACGGTGCTGCCACACGTGGTCTTCAGCTTTGACACTTGACTCTTTCTGGCGGACAAATTTCTGGCAAAGATGAGTCCTGGTTCCGCTCGATCGCTTCTTCAATACGAGCAGTATTAAAGTTGCGTAAGTCCCGCTACATGCATTCGGAGATCTATCTGTTCAGTTGCCTGTATGCTGTCAAATCTGTTGAAGACTGCAGCTTAATTTCTTGTCTAACAGCCATTAAGAGTGTGATGACCGCATGGACAGTTTCCACGAGATTATCATTGATATCGTCCACTGCATTACGGTCTTCTAGGTACTGAAAACTGTTTTGTAACTCGAGGTGAAAGGTTTCAGGAATTTGGATTACAGCACGAGAGGGACGAAGCGTTGACTTCATTAGACGAGACCTCTCCAACTTAACGTTTAGGTTCGGTGTGCCTCTAATCATTCGGTGATCGCTGCCAGTTTTCACCCTTGCGATCGCTGAGACATGACTGAACAGTTATCGTCTAGTCGCCACAATGAAGTCATTTTTTATCGAACCGTCGGGGCTCGACCAGGTCCACTTTCTGTGGTGCCGCTTCTGGAAGAAAAAGTCATAAAGAGTCCCTCTTTCGTCATAAAGTCGGCCAGCCGCTGGCCCTTTGGGTTCATTGCCCTATCCCGATATTTCCCTGCCTTTAGCTCACCGTTCTCAGGTACAAGAGTACCTAGTTTTGCGTTGAAGTCTCCCATTAACACCGTATAATAGGTTTTAGAGGAATACATGAATCTAGAGATATTCTCATACATTTACCTCTACCTTCTCATCGGGATGTGCCGAGGTTGGTGCGTGAACCTGTATGACCTTCAGCGAAGACCGTTTGGTGATTCTGAGTATAATGTCCGCAACCCTCGTTGGCTCAGTTCCAATCTTTACATCGTGGTTAACGAGAGACTTGTGGACGACCCTCCTGGTGATAGAAAAAGCTGGCGGATTCAGCGATTACCGTGTCCTCCCCCTCTCCTCGGACCTCAGATAATCCTATAATATTCCAGCGCAACTTGTCTATCTCTTCTTTCAGCTCCTGGATCTTCTCATCAGTCCTCAGGGTGCGTGCGTTGTACGTTGCTAAGTTGAGTCGTCTTGGGTGGCAACCGAACCTCCACCTGAGATTCTTAACACCCCCAACTCCGCCGTTACCATGGTCGCAACCGTAGCCAGGAATAGCTTAGCCGCCGGGGACTGGGGACCGCCTCTTCGTAACTCTCATTATGGAGGATATATTTCCATAGTTGCCACGCTTGGCGAAGAGATTGGCAGCCACAGTTTCTCTTTGTACAATTACTGCTATCAGGAAGATGCTGCCGCTCACCTCCTGCCTGTTTCCTTCCGTCGCCTTTTACGAAACCCACAGGAAGATATAGGTTAGTGGATATTCGTAACTGCCACAAAATTTCTCGAACCGTTCAAATAATTACTTATTTATACCTTCAAAAAAAGGAAGGTTTTTTCAAGGCTCTCAAAATCTGCACAAGTTGCCGACTTCACTTCTTCTTCATCTGTAAATTTCTTTCCCTGAAGCTCTTTTTTGATATTTGGGAATAAACAATGTTCCCAAGGGACCAAATCTGGACTATAGGGGGAATAGTTTGTAGTATCGAAGCCTCACTTGTGTATGGAAGCCATCGCAACATAACTCTTGTTAACGGCTGCGTCGTCCTGCAAAAGGAGCACATCCCGAGACCACTTTCCTCTTACTTTTTATTTAATAGCGTTTTTTAATTTTTCTTGTAATTTTGTCCCGTGATTTTGTCTCCATTATCTTTATAATTGATCAATTAAATCCCCTCTGAATCCCAAAAACTGATGCAATAATCTTTCCAGCGTATTGGCACTGCATGTTCACATGCTTTGACTCAGGTTTATAGTGATGAACCCAAAACACTGCCGTGTTTCTAGATTACAGAGAACTCAGATGAATTGCCTTCTTCTTCCTTAAATCATAGCTATCGGAATGTACATACCTACATAGGTGTTTACATTCCTATAGCTATAGCTATGTACATTCCTACAACTATGAGTTAAGGAATAGCTACAGAACTTGGCATCCATTCGGACCTCAACTCTATTACCGACGAAGCTGACAAACGCTTACGTCGTCTGTGGCGAACCTGGCCCCCTTTTTACATTTATGTTTTTGTTAAGATTATTTGTACTTGTTTTTATTTGACCAAAGTATGCTATATTACAGAGAGGGGATAACCGGCGAGAAATATAAGGCGGCGTTAGAGTACGGCAAGGCGTGTGTTCTACCCGCGTGGGTGAAGGACTCTGCGGTTAAAGGCGTGGCGTTGCCCCTAGCCAAGTATAAAGTGATGGGTGCCTCCACTTCCTCGCCGCTTGCGGAGCATCGCTTGCCCGATATGAGTAAGTGGCTTTTTTAATAACAAATGAAAAATTATTCCTTTAGATCTTATCTTAAGATAATAAGGACAAGTCAGAAGGACATTTGATTCCACACTTACATTTACACACACGACACATAAATTTTTTATAAGCTTGTGCTTGACTATTATCAGACTTGATGGTCAGTGGCACCGTTAAAAATACATCACTGTTAAAAAGAATGTGTATGTGAACACACACACAAAACCCCCCCACTCGATACACTCCCACACCCACACCCACACCCACAACACCCCACAATACACACCCACAACACACACCCACAACACACACCCACAACACACACCCACAACACACACCCACAACACACCCACACACACACCCACAACACACACCCACACAAAACACACACCCCCACAACACACTCACCCACAACACACTCACCCACAACACACTCACCCACAACACACTCACCCACAACACACTCACCCACAACACACTCACCCACAACACACTCACCCACAACACACTCACCCACAACACACACACACACACACCCGGCCCACACACACACACACACACACACGAGCTGCAGTTTTCTCTCTATTCTTCAAATATCTTGCCACCAAAATGTCCTCTTAATTAATTACATAGCATTATTATAATGCTTATTTGTATCTAACATAGAACATTCTTTACAGGCTTGAACTTTTCACGGATAACAAATGTGAGGCCGCCAAGCAACTTTGTAGATGAAACTAGATCTGTGGATATGTCGACACTATCTGGCAGAACAAAGGTATTAAAAAAATAATCCTAGTATGCAAACCAAAAGTTAGCCATGTGTTTCTTACTGGTCAGATTCTCAAGGACAAAATCACGATAAACAAGTTAACAGATTGAATACCAAAATCCTCCAATACTTTGCCTGTGTCAAACTTTATACTACTCAAACGAGTAGAGGTTCCGAGTTTCACCCTCACCTTAATTAATTTTTAACCATCTATATCGACAATTTGTGCAAATTTGATTTCAATATCCTTAATATTTCTCAAGGTTAAATTGGCGAACAAAAAGTGTAATTATAAGTGTATAAAAACAGAAATCACTAAATTCTTTTATAATTTCTATTCCGATTTAAACGAGTCCTAGATTATACTAATACTTAGTGTTCTGTCTATACCTAGATATACTTCGGATGTTCTATAATTATGATTTTTAAGAAAAAAATTCCAGGCCTTAGTTAGGGTGGATAAATAGGTTAAAAAATGTAATTTATAAATAATAGCTTTAATTGTTTTGAATATATTAAGTGATATTATATAACAGTTCTATAGTATTATGCTTTTTTTCAGCTGTCTCTAGAGAGTAAGAAGTCAAATGAGTTCTCTACAATGGACAAAGACATTTTGGCGGAGTTTGAAAAGTTTGATATGAGTTGCATTAAAAAGGCTGGTCCTATCTTTGATGGATTTTGTGTAAGCTTGCAAATAATTTTGTTATTTTTCATCAAGATGCACTGTGTGTATTTTCAGACTTTTTTATATATGTAAGGGTGATTAAATGAGCGCAAAATTTACTTGATGGGGGATGCTAAGACCCTTAGACATCTACTTCAATTTTCAATTAATAATATAAATGTGGACGTGTTATCACCCTGGAGGACTAAGATGGAATGCCTCGTTACCAGTAAAAAGAGTATTCGATTCTCTACACTCATCATACGAAGCACAGCAGCATTAAGCTGCTATTTCACGTTGATATCCCGTGTTCTCTAAGCCGTATCATTTGTACTGCAGCCATAATACACTGTAGGGTAGCTCTACTATATAATAATCGTAGAGAGAGGTGAGGCATTTTATATAAGACTTGTTAAATTGACACCGACGATATGGTCCTTCGAGCTAGACTCAATTGTGTACATGCTTACAGATTTAGTTGACGGATGTGAATGGGGGAATGACACTAATTTAATTGTGATTAAATGGTATTTCAAATTGTATACTTGATTATGAGAAGCCTAGTACTAAACAGGACGATTATGCAGTATTCTGCTTATTGATCAGTCCACTGCTGGATATGGACTTCTCTTATATATATAGGAAGAATTTGCATAATCGCCATGCCTTGCAGGCGAATGTTCCAATCGAACAACTATTTGCTATTTGTTTAAAAGTGGTAGTCGTCGAGTCTTCCTTTTTCCGTTCCGTCGAAATTTAGGCAGTGCTACAGCCCTTTCAGCGGTGCCAATTTGACTGTCGGTATATCGAAGTGCTGAAGTGTTTGTACAGTAAGACTACGGTGGTTATCCGAGTACAGAATCATAGTACGAAACCTATCCAACAGCAGAGGTGTAAGACAGGGTGACATTATTTCCCCGAAACTCTTCACCGCTGCATTGGAAGACGTTTTCAAGCTACTGGACTGGAAAGGATACGTTATTAACATCAATGGCAAGTACATCACTCACCTTCGATTTGCCGACGATATAGTCCTTATGGCAGAATCGCTGGAGGACTTAAGCACTATGCTCAATGACCTCAGTAGTGCCTCTCAACGGATAGGTCTTAAGATGAACATGGACAAAACAAAGATCATGTTTAATGTCCATGTCACACCTATGCCGGTAGTTGTTGGGAGCACTAAGCTCGAAGTTGTTGACGAGTACGTTTACCTGGGACAAATAGTCCGACTAGGCAAGTCCAACTTCGACCGAGAGGTCAATCGACGGATTCAACTCGGCTGGGCAGCGTTCGGGAAATTACGACGCATCTTCTCGTCAGGTATACCTCAAAACCTGAAAACTAAGTTGTACAACCAGTGCGTGTTGCCAGTGATGACCTACGGAACCGAGACGTGGTCCTTCACTGCTGGCCGTATGAGGACGCTCAAAGTCGCTCAGCGAGCTATGGAGAGGGCTATGCTCGGGGTTTCTCTGCGTGATAAACTTAGAAATGAGGATATCCGCAGTAGAACCAGAGTGACCGACATAGCCCAACGGATTAGTAAGCTGAAGTGGCAATGGGCCGGCCACATGGCTCGAAGAACCGTCAACCGTTGGGGAAAAAAGGTTCTCGAGTGGCAGCCTCGTACCGGTAGGCGAAGTGTAGGGCGAGCCCCCACTAGATGGAGTGACGACCTGGTAAGACATGCAGGAAGTCGATGGATGCAGGTGGCTCAGGACCGTGCTTTGTGGCATACCTTGGGGAGGCCTATGTTCAGCAGTGAACTTGTGTAGGACTGTAATGATTATGATGATGATAACTAATATCACAGAAAGAACCATTAACCTCCACATTTTACTAACAAGTTAATTTCCCCCCGCCATAGGATCTGTTAAATACTTCACCTCATTTCTTAATGGCGCTGCTCTGGTGACAAAAAAAATCGTAGATTTTTTTAAAAACGTTACCTCCACACTAGGATTTTCTCCTATATCGTGAGGGCAGTTTACAAACATAAATTTCACAAGGACAAACATCCAGACCCGGAACAATTAATTGTAGGCCATACAAATATTTGTTCCCTGCGGGATTCGAACCCGCGGCCCTTAGCGCTGTAACTCATTGCTAAGCCATTGCGCCACGGAGCCGTAGAAAGTCTTGTTCATTTTTTTTGCTGCCATTCCCTGGACTGGATTTTTATGTTTGGTCACAGTATACTCAATAATTAGTTTGACGTAAATGGGGTTTTTAATGACACACTAATGTTAATAAATAGGGCTTAGGATTTTCTTCACATTGTTTCTGAGAGCTATGGAGGTAAAATGTGCTTTGGAGGTGCATATTTGTATAATATGCATCTCCAAAGCACATTTTTATCAAATTTATATGATTGTTGTAGTGAATGTAAATATCAAAGATTCAACTACGCACAATTTGGTCATATAAAACGTACAACACGTACGAATTAACTTGAGACTCCGCTGGAATGCGACCCCCTTCCCGACTCCCCGCACCGCGTCCCGCGCTGGCCGTGCGCGCTCAGTACCGATAGCATTTTTGTTACGGATACGCGTCTCGACTCTAGTTCGATATTTTTGATAATTGTTTGGTTTGGACTTTTGTTTGTTTTTGTTATACTTGAACGTTATTTTATCTGTTTGTTGTTAATTGCGTTGTTTTATTGTTAAGTTTGGACGTTGTGTTGTGCCGTTTTCTTGTGACGCTTAGGAGTTACTCCGCCTTTTTTATTTTTAAAAAAAGATGGGAGGAAAGACAATACATAGCCAAGCGGACACTTGCTCTAAAAGTTTTAAAATTTTTCGAAGATGAAAAATCAAATAAAAAGTTTCTTATTCCTGTGGACCAAGCTTTAAAGAGGGCTTGTGCAGAACAGGCATATCAAAGGCAACACTACTAAGAATGAAAAACGAGGCGAAAAAAGTTCAGTCAATTTCTCAAGACCAAAGTGATGATGTCACAGTAGTATCGGAACCATGTACTTCTCAAGCAAGACCAGAACTTAAACTATCAACTCCAGGGAAAAAAAGGAAACAGAGCTCAAAAAAAATTGAACTCGACAATTTTGATCTGTGTGCTCTAAGAAACCTTGTCAACAGTTTCTATACAGTACGGAAAGAAATTCCAACATTGAAAAAGATTTTAACGGCTGCAAAAGCAGATCTAAATTTTCCAGGTACGTACCCATATTTATTGACATTTTTTATATGTATTATATATCATACTTTAGGTCATATCATATACAAGGTGACATTTAATTCAAGCATAATCTTGTTAGGGGTGCTAGAACTGGTAATTTGCAACAATTTTATGTATGGACACCCATATGAAAAAAGTGAACAATTTCTGAGATATTTAATTTTAAATTATTTTTTGAAAAAATATCACGCGATAACTAAAAATTAAAAATAAAATCTTTATTTTACAGGTGAAAAAACCACGTTACAACGAATACTCGTTGACTACTTGGGGTACACATTTAAAAAATGTCAGAACGCAAGACAAGTCTTAATACAAAAGCCAGACATTGCGGGGTTATTTACGAAGGAAGAAAAAAAACAATGAACTTGGGGTGGACAAAAAACCCGTAACTTATTTAGACGAAACATGGATTCACACCCACTATACCGTGCGCAAATGCTGGCAAAATAACAATGACGCAAGCATTAGAAAAAATGATAATCCAGGACAGCGGTGGATATTGGTGCACGCTGGCGGTGAAAACGGCTTTATCCCTGGTGCCGAATTGCTTTACAAATGCAAAAGTAATGCCGGGGACTACCATCACGAAATGGATAGTAAAAACTTTAAAAAGTGGTTGACAGAAAAACTAATCCCAAACTTACCTCAAAACAGTCTCGTCGTTATAGACAATGCTCCCTACCACTCAACGCAGTTTGAAAAACCACCCGTGAGCTCGTCCCTGAAAGGTGAGATGCAGAGTTGGCTTCGGAAAAACAACATTCCTTTTGATGAAAAAATGACGAAACCAGAACTGTACCATATAATACTGCTCAATAAACCACCGAAAAAATATATAGTGGACGAACTCATGAGGGAGCATGGACACGAGGTATTACGGATGCCACCCTACCATTGTGATTTGAACCCTATCGAATATATATGGAACTTAATAAAACAAAGGGTGGCAGCTAAAAATGTTAACCAGTTTGAAAGGGAAGTAGAGGGTTTGACAAGAGATGCAATACAGTCTATAACTGCTTCCGATTGGAAGAAAGAAATTAACCATATCGAAAGATTAGAAAATGAATACTGGGAGAGTGATAGACTTGGTGAAATCCAACAGAGAGAATTAATTATCTCCCTCGGAGGGGAAGAATCCAGCTCAGAGAGTGAAAGTGAGGACGATCTAATGGACGGAATAGAACCGATCGTATACAGTGACAATGAATAATAAATATTATAATAAATCCTTATTAATATTCCTTACTTCTATTCCTTGATTTTTCATAGTTTGTGCTGTTCCGCTTATCCAAGATTGATTCACTTTCACCCTAAGGTTGCCTGGGAGAGATTGCTTTTTAGCAATAAGGTCGCCTGTTATGCTTTGTATTTTTATTGTGTACGAATCTGTAACACTTTTTATAGTGCAATAAAGTGTATAATAAATAAATTAATAATATTATAAATGAGGAAGTGTGTATGTTTATTTCTTTGTCCTTCCTTGACGCGTTAACTAAAAATAATATTATATATATTATAAAAAAATAAATATTTAAAATATATAAAAATGGCAACAGTATATCACTTATTACTTCACCCCTTGCCAGAACATTTTATTTTGTTTTTATTAATAATCTCATGCAAATCTCAAAAATTTCAAATAAAAAAATATTACGACGCATTATTTTGCACACCGTACATTGACAATTACGTCATCGGCCCAGGTCTCAAGTTAATTCGTACGAGTTATACATAGATTTCGCAAAAGTCACCTATTCAATGTCCCTGTTCCGTAAATGACATGAACATTTGAATCGTTTAACAATTAAAAACTGTCAAATATGAAACTGTCCTTCGAGCCGGATTGACCGGTGCAGAGGTTTTCAGATCTGGCTGATAGGCGTGGAGGGCGTGTGCCGCGAGCGCGCGGCGGCGTGCGTGTCGCGCTGCGGCGGCGTGCGCTACGACCGCGCGCACGAGTGCGTCACGCACGCAGTATGCGGCACGCGCGCGGCGGCGGCGCAGGCCGCGCGTGCGCTGCCCGCCGTGCCCGTGCTGCACGCGCTCTGGCTACTGCGCAGTGTAGAGGCACAGCGCGCGCTGCCCGAAACCGATGTAAGTTTGAAAATGGAACGATTTTTATTTTTAAATTTTTGGCCGTGCCGTGGTGATGTAAGGCGTTGGCCACGATAAAGCAACTGCGGGCAGTCGAGGTGTTCTGCGGGGGTGGAAGGCGTGAAGATGCTACGCCTTCCCGCTGTAGTATTTGAGGCGCATGCATGACATGTGGTTTCTTCCTGCTATTTTTGCGCGGGCTAAAAAGTGACTAGAAGGGAGTAGTTTTTGTGCACAAGATATAATGCAAATTTAAATAGGAGTTCATGATTTAAACTAAAACAGGCATCAGTTTGGTGATTACCGGAGACTGTATGATGAAATACGTCAATACCTATAAACGTTTTGAGAAATATAATATTATGCATATAATTTTCATGCTCACTAGACCATATTGCAGACTGAGACATTATTTCGCTAATAAACGTCTCCGTATTTATATTTTGCATCGCGGAAAAATCAACATGTTTTGATTAAAACGCAAGACGCGCGAACACGTACTTTGTGGAACGTACACCTGACGTGCAAGCCGTCGCGCCAGCATGGCAACTCTCGTTTGCCTCGTATTGTTATTTTTCTCGCTCAACGCAGACGCAAGACGCGTCGCGCTAGCCTGGCATACGACAAAGAATATCCACTATTTTACAACTAAAAAATAAAACTGCGGTTAGCAACTCACTTGCTAATCGTGGCAACTACGAGAATGGCTATGAAGTAATCAGAGAATGAATTTTCTAACGGTCATTATTTATTCTAAAAACTAATTCAAAGTTATCTGTCGGTCACCTGGGTGCTTTTCCAGTACTTAATAGATGTGAAACCGGCCACCCCGGCGAAGTCGAGCGCTCGCAAAGTGCACGTTGAACCCGCGTCCCCGATGAGCAAGCGGAATTTGCAGCTGCTACGCCACGTGCCGCTGGACCTGCCACCGCCTACACCGGAACTGCCCGAGCCGCAGGACGAACTCGTCAATCATTACTTGAGCCGTGAGGATTCTTTTCAACATGTTATATATATACTTAGTCGGGTTATAAGTTCCGTCAAAACCTTATTTTTTAAAATAGTTGAATACTGGCTAGATGAAATTTACATATTTTAAAAATATAACGTTTGCGCTTGCTGAAAATAAAAAAACATTCATTTTCATTCATTTTCAAAAATGTAGTGGTCGAAGAAAGAAAATAGACTAGCGGTTATCGCGATGCACCGCTGCGGTTCCGCCAAACAAGATTTTCAACATTCTACAAAAATTTAAAATAACCCTACGATTTGTTTATCGCACTATCAAATGATTTCTGAAGATTCAAGTTTCGAAGATCGTAAGAGGACCGGCCGACCTGGTACTGTTAGGATACTCGCGATCATCAAAGCAATGATGGCGCGAATCCAACGAAATCCTGTTCGTAAACAAAAAAATCTTAGCTCTTCAGATGGGCCTAAGCTGAACCACGGTCAAAAGAGTGATCAATGAAGACCTAGGACTACTAAGAGCTTAGTAGTAAGAAACCAGCACGCGTATTTCGCGGATTCAAAGATCACATTATCCTTCGTCACTCATGGTTTGGTTTGGAGTCTCATATTCAGGCTTAACTGATGTGCTTTTCTGTGAAAAAGGTGTAAAAACTAGTGCCGAAGTGTACCAAAATACCGTCCTAACAAACATAGTGGAACCTCTTTCTCAAACAATGTTCAAAAATAGACATTGGATATAATTGATATAATCGGGCGTTACTTTGCGGAAATGTATCTTATCTAGATTGAAGAGCACCTCCCGCCCTTCCTCAATTGCGTGCACTAATCCCGTCTTTTTTCTCTACATATGATTTCAAAAGATATATAGTATATAACATAAAGATATATAAATTCAGAAGATATGGAATACTAAATTCTTCTGAATATGTTGTTATGTAACATTATTTTATATGTTAAGTATTTTCAATAAAAGTAAGATTATTTTTCTAGAGAACGTGCCTGAACCAGTGAGAGAAAAGACACCTGAACCTCGAGTGCCTAATGTAACCGTGGATCCCCAACAACCAGATATCACTGAGGACATCGGAGAGGAACCTACTGAAGAAATCGAACAGATATTTAGAGGTAAATAGGCAATTTTGCAAGCATGTGCTAGAGAGAGCTTAGTGTATGAATGACCTATAGACTTACTCTGTAACAGAACAGGGACCCTAGCACATAGTAAAGCATAATTCAAATGGTATCCCATTTATATGAGAATTTATACACAAACATGTTTAAAAGTTTACAATAACTACTCATAGTAGAAGCACGACGAAGTAGAAAATATGACTAGCGATTTATCATACCCCTAAAACCGTGGCCGTTTGTTTTGGCGTAGTAGAATATATTATCCCATATTATCTCGCGGTCCTCGTAGGAGGCAAAAGAAGGAATTGTTACGGGAGACGCAGCAGCGCCTTCTCGATAACAAGTCTATCTAATAACGACTAAAAATAAAAAAAACAGCGGTTGCCAACCGGCTTGCCAAGCGTGGCAACTATGGCAAATATGCCCCCTTAGAGGTAATCTATGGGGGATACCTAGGTTCGGCAGTGAACCTTTATAGGCTGTAATGTATGAATGAATACTTCCATGTTATATTAGTAGTATAGTTGCAGCACGAATGGGTCGGCTCGACCGGGGAAGGATCACGCTCTCGCAGAATACCAGCGTGAAATAGCAGGTTAATGCTGCTGTGTTTCGTATGGTGAGTGTAGAGAACCGGAGACCGGACCCTTTTTACTGAAACGAGGCATTCCATCTCAGTCCTCACGGGTGACAACACATCTGCATTTTGATTCGCAATTGAACATAGATGTAGATGTCTATGGCCCACAGCAACTACTTACCATGAGGTGGACTGTGTGCTCGTTTGTCACGCTATCCTATAAAAAAAATATAAGCGTTCACTGTTCACCATACAAAACAGCAGCAATATACTGCTTTGCTTATGGAAGGAAAAAAAGGAATATTTCCCGCATGCCAAGGTTTCAATGTATTGTACATACATCGGAGTAGTTCGGAACTTCGATAGCGTGATTTAGGCTTCGGTGTGTTTTGCATGTGATGCGGTGGCCGCGCCACCACCACCATGCTATTTCAATGTGGTGCTCTGTGTGGACGTACTTCGCCGTTGAAAACTTACGCGTTCAGTACAGTCAAGTGAATGAGCGTATCCACGACTTTTTCTGCTACCAGGGCGGCGCCACTTTGGAATGAAGTGAATATTTTTTTATGGAATAAGGGTGACAAACGAGCACACGGTCCACCTGATGGTAAGTGGATGCTGTGGCCCATCGACATCCACATTTATCCTCGATTAAGAATCAAAACGTGGACGCGCTGTCACTCCTGAGGACTACGATGGAGTGCCTCGTTTCCAGTAAAAAGGGGTCTCCGGATCTCTACACACACCATACGAAACACAGCAGTATAAAGCTGCTATTTTACGCTGGTATTCTGTGAGAGCGTGATCCTTCACCGCTCGAGCCGACCCATTCGTGCTACGACCATAATATAGTTGCAGCGTTGCTCTACCACGTATATTTGACAGATTTAATAGCGGGAAAGTTAATTTGTCTGAAAAATGTAAGTGATAATGTTTCTCTCTGATAGATTAGTTGTATTTTATATTAATTATATTTGAAATAAATAAACCAAACTACAGATATTTTTAAAAGTGAACATTTTTAAAAAGAGTTAAATATTTGCAAAAAATTAAAGAGTAAAGCACTGAGGCATTGTTTTGTGTAATATTATAGTATTCTAGAAACTGATAAACTTTTGTTTAAAACTAACTCTCAATTAAATAACATTGTGTAACAAAAACTTCACCTCAGTCCCAACTAACGACATCTGGTGACAGGAAAGTTCTCAGTCCTCATTAAAATCAAAATAACATTCATAATAATACACAATATAATCAAAACTAAATACAGTACATAAGTAAATAATCACTAGCTAAACGTAGCTTCGAACTTCGGCGATAATTGATAGTTACGGTTTTTTCCTTACAGAAAGTAGAAACAGTTTGTCTCGCTCCAACGTTTGTGTTTGTAATATTGTTATTTCACCTCCCAGAAGTAAGCGTTACTATCGTCCATTTAATGATTGTGGCAGGTATAAAGATCGAGGTGCAGGGGCTGGACGAGGAGGCGGTGTGCGAGTTGGGCGCGGAGGTGGCGGCGGCGGGCGGCGTGCTGGCGGGCGCGGGCGCGGGCGGCCGCTACGCGCTCGTGCCGCTCGACTTCGACCCGGCCGACCTCGCCACGCCTACTGCCGAGCCCGTCACCGTCTTCTGGGTGGTGAGTGCACCCTCCGATATAGTCGTCCTGCTTTCCCAGTTCTGGCAGTTGTTTTTTTTTTACAAAATGGAAGTGAAATACGAACATACAGCCTACTTTCAGTGGCTACTTAAGTTCATAAACACCAGTAGTTGACTTCAATTAAAGAAGGCTACAGCTGCGTTGTCACTTGTCAGTTCTGTTGACTGAGATGAAATGTCTCACAACCTGTTGATAATTATTGAATAAAACTAAATTTACGAATTCTATCTTAATTACTTTTACTTATTTTTAATTCCCGACGTTTCGGGTGCTTTACAGCACCCATGGTCACGGGGGGACTGAGATGTTTGACGTCCCAATGTCATTGTTAGCCCGGCTACCTTCAGTTTTTGAATATTAATTTTTGGTCCGATTTATGCAATATTAATATTCAATATATATTTATATTCAAAAACTGAAGGTAGCCGGGCTAACAATGACATTGGGACGTCAAACATCTCAGTCCCCCGTGACCATGGGTGCTGTAAAGCATCCGAAACGTCGGGAATTAAAAACAAGTAAAAGTTATTAATTAAACGCGATAGAATCCGTAAATTTAGTTTTATTCAATGTGCAGTGTTCGCGTAAATTTAAGAAATCACTGTTGATACTAGATCTCTATATCTTTGGGATCAGAACAAAGAGATGAGTACTTACCCAGATAGACTTGTAGTAAGTAAACGGGTCTTATAACTTCCTAAATTATATGGTAGTGGTGGTAGTAATAGTCTCGTTTATTAGCAAGGGCAGCAGATTATATGTACATTTATCTATTTATATGTTTGTTCTTTAGTTTATTAATTCATTTAGTCTTTTTTTATCCCCTACAATTATGTAAAAGAACTCCTGTACATTAGTACAGTAGTTTTTTTAACGTTACAGCCTACTAAAAATCCATTGTAGAATATAGGCTTCCTAATAAGTTGGATATTTGAGTAGTTACGTTGTACCAGTTCTGGCGCACTAGTAGTTAGGTTGTACCAGTTCTGGCGCACTGAGTCAGAAGTGGTACAAGTACGAAGTTCGTCGAGTCACGATCCTAAAAAAAAAGTTTTGGCATGCTCTGATCACGAATCTGAGGTCCATTTTTGCGTAGGATGCACGGTTTCGGAGATGTGCAAATCAATTAACTCTTATCTAATTGATATCCGGTGTAGTCCTCAACCGTCATTAGCGCTCCATTGTCCTTATCTACTTATCTATTTTTCGTTCAATACCGTCATTATCTAATATTCGTCAGCGTGTGGGTCGGCTTATGCTATTATATTATACTCCTTGGTTCCTATCTACAACGGTAATCTGAATCATCAATAAAATACATTACCTAATTTTGTTACAATTTTTATTTACGAAATACAAAATCTTATTACTTATTATCTATAAAATAGGAGCGAAACATCTCATCCACTAAAATATCGTTGTACAATGTGTTCCCTGTAAATATACTCGTAAAACTATGCATTGAACATCCCTGAAACTTATATAGCAAATACATTAAGCAATATTCGCCACAAACTGAAGTCCACTCATTCTGAATCCTATCAACATTCCAGTTCCATCTTTTACAATTTCTTTTTTAAAAACTCTAGATGATATTGTACAGGTGTCCGTCCATATGAATCAAAATATTGACCGACGTCATTCGTATCGATATATAAAGCTACCCAATGTGACCCTGGTTTATCATCTGTACCCAAATTGCATATTACCTAGTCAGGTCATAAATTCTATCACATGTTTAATATAAAATAATTGAAACAAGTTACCGAACGGAACCGAAGGGGCCAGCAGCTGGCCGACTTTATGGAGAAAGAGGGACTCTTTATGATGAACTCTTCCTTCCAGAAGCGGCCCCACAGGAAGTGGACCTGGTCGAGCCCCGACGGTTCGACAAAAAATGAGATTGACTTCATTATGACGACCAGACGCCAACTGTTCAGTGATGTCTCAGTGATCGCAAGGGTGAAAACTGGCAGCGATCACCGAATGGTTAGAGGCACACTGAACCTAAACGTTAAGTTGGAGAGGTCTCGTCTAATGAAGTCAACGCTCCGTCCCCCTCGTGCTCTAATCTAAAATCCCGAAAACTTTCAGCTCGAGTAACACAACCGCTTTCAGTGCCTACAAGATTGCAATGCAGTGTACGATATGAATGACAAGCTCGTGGAAACTGTCCATGCGGTCGGAGCTAAGTTCTGCAAAACCCGCCGCAGAAGAACACAAAAACTCTCCGATCACACTCTTAATCTCATGGCTGTTAGACGGGAGATGAGGCTGCAATCGTCAACAGATTTGACAGCATACAGGCAACTGAACAGACAGATCTCCAAATGCATGCGGCGAGACTTACGCAACTTTAATACTGCTCGTATTAAAGAAGCGATCGAGCGGAACCAGGGCTCCAAAGTCTTTGCCAGAGATCTGTCTGCCCGTAAGAGTCAACTGTCAAGGCTGAAGACTGAGTTTGGCAGCATCGTTTCCGGGACACCTGAGATTTTGAGTGAGATTGAGAGGTTCTATGTACACTGTACACATCATCGTTGGAGCCACACGCAAGTGTGAGTAACGATCCAAGAGCAAGTCTTATCCGACACTATTCCGATGATATCCCGGACGTCAGTCTAAGCGAGATTAGAATGGCTCTCCAGCACCTTAAAAACGGCAGGGCCCCAGGCGAGGATGGAATTACAGCGGAGCTTCTGAAAGCGGGTGGAACACCGGTACTTGAAGTCCTTCAGAAGCTCTTCAATTCCGTCCTCCATGGTGGCACTACTCCAGAGGCGTGGAGCAGAAGTGCGGTGGTCTTGTTCTTTAAGAAAGGCGACAACGCTCTCTTGAAGAACGAGCTGTTTTCGAGAGTCATTACGAATCGTCTCGCACGCAGATTCGACGACTTCCAGCCTCCCGAACAAGCCGGTTTCCGAAAAGGCTTCAGTACCATAGACCACATACATACCCTGTGGCAGATTGTACAGAAGACTGAAGAGTACAATTTGCCACTTTGCCTGGCGTATGTGGACTATGAGAAAGCCTTTGATTCCGTCGAAATTTGGGCGGTGCTGCAGTCCCTTCAGCGGTGCCAAGTTGACTGTCGGTATATCGAAGTGCTGAAGTGTTTGTACAGTAGGGCTACGATGGCTATCCGAGTACAGAACCAGAGCTCGAAACCTATCCAACTGCAGAGAGGTGTAAGACAGGGTGACGTTATATCCCCGAAACTCTTCACCGCTGCTTTGGAAGACGTTTTCAAGCTACTGGACTGGAAAGGATACGGTATTAACATCAAGGGCGAGTACATCACTCACCTTCGATTTGCCGACGATATAGTCCTTATGGCAGAATCGCTGGAGGACTTAAGCACTATGCTCAATGACCTCAATAGTGCCTCCCAACGGATAGGTCTTAAGATGAACATGGACAAAACAAAGATCATGTTTAATGTCCATGTCACACCTATGCCGGTAGTTGTTGGGAGCACTATGCTCGAAGTTGTTGACGAGTACGTTTACCTGGGACAAATAGTCGACTAGGTAAGTCCAACTTCGACCGAGAGGTCAATCGACGGATTCAACTCGGCTGGGCAGCGTTCGGGAAATTACGACACATCTTCTCGTCAGGTATACCTCAATCTCTGAAAACTAAAGTGTACAACCAGTGCGTGTTGCCAGTGATGACTTACGGATCAGAGACGTGGTCCTTCACTGCTGGCCGTATGAGGACGCTCAAGGTCGCTTAGCGAGCTATAGAGAGGGCTATGCTCGGAGTTTCTCTGCGTGATAGACTCAGAAATGAGGATATCCGCATTAAAACCAGAGTGACCGACATAGCCCAACGGATTAGTAAGCTGAAGTGGTAATGGGCCGGCCATATAGCTCGAAGAACCGATAACCGATGGGGAAGAAAGGTTCTCGAGTGGCAGCCTCGTACCGGTAGGCGTAGTGTAGGGCGACCCCCCACTAGATGGAGTGACGACCTGGTAAGATATGCAGGTAGTCGATGGATGCAGGTGGCTCAGGACCGTTCTTTGTGGCATTACTTGGGGGAGGCCTATGTTCAGCAGTGGACTTGTGAAGGGCTGTGATGATGATGATGATGATGATGAAACAAGTTTATTCATTATGTAACCATTTATATACCAAAATGAACTTAACAAAACATAGATTCTTATGACACTATAGTTTATTCAAAATGACCTGCGTGATTTTGAATACAGGCCTTCAATCTGCGCGGCCAGTCGTCTACCGCAGCACGAACGAGGTCTATGTCAATATCGGCGGCTGCCTTAATCAAGGATGTCTTGAGTGACTCCAAATTGGGATGAGGCTTTGAGCACGCCTTCTCCTCCAAGTGTTGCCATATCTTGTAATCTAACGAATTCAAATCTGGACTGGAGGAGGGCCAGTCTTCGTCCGGATGAAGTCGATTTCACGCGCCGCCAGCCAGTCTTGTGTGCTCTTCGCTCTATGAGCTGACGCCGAATCTTGTTGGAATACCCAGTGCCTGTTATTGAACATGGTATGAGAAACAGGTTACACAAGGTTCGTCAGGACTGTATTTTGATACACAACTACATTCGTTTTTACACCTTTCTCACAAAAATGTACCTTTGTTAAGCCCCAATAAGAAACTCCCAACCATACCATGAGCGAGGATGGAAAATGACCTCGTTGGACACGCGGAATACGGTTGCTCGCTTCTTCACTACTGTGTGCGTACACCTTATCATTTTATTTGTAGTAGCTCTCTTCTACGGTAAAATTTTTTTCATCCGACAAAAGAATTTCCCGATATTTTTTCCCGCGTACCGTTTCGACAAAGCGCGGCATCTCTTCAGTCTCAGGTCCATTAGACGAGCATTCAAACGATGTCCTGTTTTTCTTCGATATGCTCGAAGCCCTAAGTCTTCATTTAACACCCTTTTCACCGTGGTTCTGCTTAACCTCATCTGAAGGGCCAACAGTTTCTGCTTACGTTTGGGGTTTCTTTGAATTCGCGCCTTCACAGCTTTTATCACTGCTGGAGTCCTATATATATGTCGATGATGTATCTAATATTTTTTAGATTTTGTGTCATTTTGAACCAAAATGTTAAAAGTATTTACACGTGACTAAAATATGTTTGTTCCAACAAACTTCACATAACAATTCATTCTTCATTACTTCCCATCATCCCATTTCTTCCTTCTGCTCTTGTCTTCCTGTAATTTAAGTAAACAGAATCACATTCACTAATGATCACTAATGACTGTCATTGTTAAAAAAGTATTTTTTAACTTTTTACTTTCTACTATTGTCTTTGTATTTATGGCTAGGAAATATCCGCGGCGCGGTCTCAATGCGTTGGCGAACTTCACAAGCCTTCGAAATTTTCTCAGACATGCAGGTTTCCTCACGATGTTTTCCTTCACCGCCGAGCACGTGGTAAATCAGCACTTAAAATTGCAATTAACAATTTAAGTGGTGCCGGCGGGGGTCGAACCCGGGTCGCGTACTGTGAAATTTACAGCTTGCGCTAACCATCTGAGCTACCACGGCTTAATCATATACACACACAATATTTAAATATAATTTGTTAACACTAAATAATAAAAAAATAAGAAAATAACAGAAAGAAAAGTAAGTTTGTCAATAGAATAAACACTTAAAATTGCAATTAACAATTTAAGTGGTGCCGGCGGGGGTCGAACCCGGGTCGCGTACTGTGAATTTTACAGCTTGCGCTAAATATCTGAGCTACCACGGCTTAATCATACACACACACACACACACACACACACACACACACACACACACACACAATATTTAAATATAATTTGTTAACACTAAATCATACACACGCAAGAAAATAACAAAAAGAAAAGTAAGTTTGTCAATAGAATAAACACTTAAAATTGCAATTAACAATTTAATTGGTGTCGGCGGGGATCGAACCCGCGTCGCGTACTGTAAAATTTACAGCTTGCGCTAACCCCATCTGAGCTACCACGGCTTAATCATATACACACACAATATTTAAATATAATTTGTTAACACTAAATCATACACACGTAAGAAAATAACAGAAAGAAAAGTAAGTTTGGTAATAGAATAAACACTTACATCTATGGCCTTTGATGCCTTGAAGTAATACAAATATAGTATTGATAGATCCACTGCGGTTAAACGACCATACACTAACTCCATGACTGCAGTTGCTTGGTCTTATATAGTACCAGTAAGTAATAATTCTAATCTAAAGAATTTCTACAGTGGAATTGATAATAACTTTATTCGTCAACAAGCTTATCTCACATTCTGTTGCTTATCTCATCATTACTTCGTGTTGCGTCGTATTCAGTGTATCGATGACTCAAATACGTACAAAAATAATACAAAAAAATGCAATTTAATATTTAGAAATCACATAATTGATCATTCCTATGTTAGTTATTGAGTAGATTGTACTGTAATAATCTACTAATAGCAGTAATATCATGGATACACTAGATGTACAACAACATCTGAAAAAGATTCACCCCAGTCTAGGAAATAATGTTTATGCTGCTAATAGACCTATAATAGATATATAATAGTAGATATATACCTAGTCAGGTCATAAGTATTGTCACACAGTAAAAACTTTTCTTTTACAATGCTGGCCACAAAAAAGTTTATTGAATTCGAATTTCGAATTGTTCATGAAAATAAAACTGTATACTTTTTTAGAATTTTACTAATTTTTTAATATGGAGTGGACGTTTAAAGAAGACCGTGTTGCAGTTATTGCGTTGCATCGTTGTGGTTCCGCGCCAATTCAAATTTTTGACATACTGAAAAATTTGAATATAACCAAAAGATTCGTTTATCGTACCATCAAACGATACAATGAAGACTCTAGTGTAGATGATGGATCAAGAAGTGGTCGCCCTCGGTCTGTTAGGACTCCAGCAGTGATAAAAGCTGTGAAGGCGCGAATTCAAAGAAACCCCAAACGTAAGCAGAAACTGTTGGCCCTTCAGATGAGGTTAAGCAGAACCACGGTGAAAAGGGTGTTAAATGAAGACTTAGGGCTTCGAGCATATCGAAGAAAAACAGGACATCGTTTGAATGCTCGTCTAATGGACCTGAGACTGAAGAGATGTCGCGCTTTGTTGAAGCGGTACGCGGGAAAAAAATATCGGGAAATTCTTTTTTCGGATGAAAAAAAATTTACCGTAGAAGAGAGCTACAACAAACAAAATGATAAGGTGTAAAAGGATGTTAAATGAAGACTTAGGGCTTCGGGCATATCGAAGAAAAAACAGGACATCATTTGAATGCTCGTCTAGTGGACCTGAGACTGAAGAGATGCCGCGCTTTGTCGCAGCGGTACGCGGGAAAAAAATATCGGGAAATTCTTTTGTCGGATGAAAAAATTTTACCGTAGAAGAGAGCTACTACAAATAAAATGATAAGGTGTACGCACACAGTAGTGAAGAAGCGAGCAACCGTATTCCGCGTGTCCAACGAGGTCATTTTCCATTCTCGCTCATGGTATGGTTGGGAGTTTCTTATTGGGGCTTAACAAAGGTACATTTTTGTGAGAAAGGTGTAAAAACGAATGTAGTTGTGTATCAAAATACAGTCCTGACGAACCTTGTGTAACCTGTTCTCATACCATGTTCAATAACAGGCACTGGGTATTCCAACAAGATTCGGCGTCAGCTCATAGAGCGAAGAGCACACAAGACTGGCTGGCGGAGCGTGAAATCGACTTCATCCGGCATGAAGACTGGCCCTCCTCCAGTCCAGATTTGAATCCGTTAGATTACAAGATACGGCAACACTTGGAGGAGAAGGAGTGCTCAAAGCTTCATCCCAATTTGGAGTCACTCAAGACATCCTTGATTAAGGCAGCCGCCGATATTGACATGGACCTCGTTCGCGCTGCGATAGACGACTGGCCGCGCAGATTGAAGGCCTGTATTCAAAATCACGGAGGTCATTTTAAATAAACTTTAGTGTCATAAGAATCTATGTTTTGTTAAGTTCATTTTGGTATATAAATGGTTACATAATGAATAAACTTGTTTCAATTATTTTATATTAAACATGTGATAGAATTTATGACCTGATTAGGTAATATGCAATTTGGGTACAGATGATAAACCAGGGTCACATTGGGTAGCTTTATATATCGATACGAATGACGTCGGTCAATATTTTGATTCATATGGACGGACACCTGTACGATATCATCTAGAGTTTTTAAAAAGAAATTGTAAAAGATGGAACTGGAATGTTGATAGGATTCAGAATGAGTGGACTTCAGTTTGTGGCGAATATTGCTTAATGTATTTGCTATATAAGTTTCAGGGATGTTCAATGCATAGTTTTACGAGTATATTTACAGGGAACACATTGTACAACGATATTTTAGTGGATGAGATGTTTCGCTCCTATTTTATAGATAATAAGTAATAAGATTTTGTATTTCGTAAATAAAAATTGTAACAAAATTAGGTAATGTATTTTATTGATGATTCAGATTACCGTTGTAGATAGGAACCAAGGAGTATAATATAATAGCATAAGCCGACCCACACGCTGACGAATATTAGATAATGACGGTATTGAACGAAAAATAGATAAGTAGATAAGGACAATGGAGCGCTAATGACGGTTGAGGCCTACACCGGATATCAATTAGATAAGAGTTAATTGATTTGCACATCTCCGGAACCGTGCATCCTACGCAAAAATGGACCGCAGATTCGTGATCGGAGCATGCCAAAACCTTTTTTTTTTAGGATCGGGAGTCGACGAACTTCGTACTTGTACCACTTCTGACTCAGTGCGCCAGAACTGGTACCACTTCTGACTCAGTGCGCCAGAACTGGTACAACCTAACTACTAGTGCGCCAGAACTGTAACAACGTAACTACTTATTTGCCATAGTTGCCACGCTTGTCAAGCGGGTTGGCTACCGCAGGCTTAGAAACAATTAAAAGGAAGAGTAGAGAGGCGGAAATAATCCTAAAACCATTATCTGCTATTGTTTGCATGATGTTCGTCTGTTGGTTGTGTGGTGCAGAAGGACTGCCTGTGCCAGCAAGAGCTGGTTCCGGTGCAGTACTACCACCGGCCGGTGCGGCTGCCGCAGTGGAGCGGGGCGGGCCCGCTGCACGGCGTAGTGGCCAGCCTCAGCACCTACAGCGGCGTCGAGCGCGCCTTCCTCGACGAACTCGCCAAGCTGCTCGGTGCCACGTGAGTCCATCCCAGCGCATACTGCTCAGTTCTATTCACCTCTCGCTCGCACGGTTGCTGTCTATACTTGCACTCGACGTAGTGGAGCGGGGTGGGACCGCTGCACGGCGTGGTGGCTAACCTCAACACCTACAGCGGCGTCGAGCGCGCCTTCCTCGACGAGCTCGCTAAGCTGTTCGGCGCCACGTGCGTCAATCCCAGCGCATACTGCTCAGTTCTGTTCACCTCTCGCTCGTACACTATCGCTGTCTATACTAGCACTCGACGCAGTGGAGCGGGGCGGGCCTGCATCACGGTGTGTTGGATAGACGGACTCGCGTTTCCGGGTATCCACTCTAGGGTGGATTCTTTAGGGTGCATAAACAGAATAACCCGTTTTTTTTGTGCACTTTTACGTGGTAGAGCCATGCTGCAGCTATATTAATTGTATAGTTGTAGCACGAATGGGTCGGCTCGACCGGGGTTAGGGTTAGTGTTAACGTTTAAAAAAAAAAGAATCTCGGAAACGGCTCCAACGATTTTCATAAAATTGTGTGTCCAGGGGTTTTCGGGGGCAACAAATCGATCTAGCTAGGATTTTTTTTTAGAAAATGTCGTTTTGTCCGTGTTTTCAGGCAATGAAAAACTGCTACAATATAAGAAGGTAAATTTTGACGACACTTAACGATAGTAACAGCTCAAGTGGATATCGGGCCGTCGTGAAATCCTAGTGCCCTGGTTCGCGTCCCGTCTTCGGTCTGACTTTTTTGCCTTTTTTTCAAGTTCCCTTCTTTTGTGAGAAAATCTATTATTTCGAGCCCTTTTTAGTATTTTTTTTAAAAATATTGAAATTTAAATTAAACTATATGCATTCATGATTTTTTATTCAAATAACCAGTTCAGTTTTTTCTGTTATGTCAATAAGATCAAAAACATTATTCATGTTTCATCAGTTGGTAATTTGTATCTAAATATGATTTCCAAAACGCACCATTTCCAAAAAAAAAAAAAACACCGAGCAAAGCTCGGTCATCCAGGTACTGTAAAATAATTCTGGCAGTTGAGATATTTCGGATAAGAACGAAGAGTCTGTTTTTTTAAGCACTTAAAACGTCTTTGTTTTATTTAGTTGACTCAGCAATCTAATTATTTCTCAGATCAATAAAATAATTCGTACAAATAAAGAAATGTTAAATATCTACTTCTTCTTTGCCAACCCTACTACGCTTTGTGACGTCATTTTCGAATAACTTCGACAAGGTTATATCCCGTTTAGATCGAGCGCTTATTTTAACAGCAGCGATTTATCGGGACTTATACATTGAGGGACTTAAAAAAAGAAACTGACTTGTTTGTTAAATTGACTTACCGCCAGGTGACCTATATGCTTGTTTGCACGGCGACGAGGAGCAACGCCAAATGTATGTATTGCGATCATCAATTCGTCTGTCAAACGTTGCGATTAAGGCAAAATCACCTTACAACGGAAGAGCCGCTTACATTCATGAAAGCATGTATGTTTATATTTTAACACCCCCCCCCCCATCCCTCCTCCAGTACTCAGCTGCGCTTCTGCCGCCGCAACACGGCGAACGCGCTCGCGTCCACGCACTTGATATGCCCGACGCCTGCGGGCGACAAGTACGCCGGCGCTGTCAAGTGGCAGCTGCCCGCCGTGAAGGCTTCATGGCTGCTCGCTTGCGCTGAGGCAGGACGACGCGTCAGCGAAAAGGACCACCTCGTTGGCGACACCAAAGGTAATATCAGCTCAACAGATCGCCCTCTAAAACATCTGTGCTAGTAATTTCTTATATTTACGCGAATGCTACAAACTAAATTTTAACTTTGTCAAAGTTTTTAAATTTCCGATATTGATTTATTTACCGAATTTGAGATAGATATGAAGCAATAAGTCCGTTGCACTACTTCACTTCGTGTAGGCGGACTTTTTTATGACATTGATGATAACAAACCAGCTTACAGTCGACCTGATGGTGAGTAGCTTTTTTTATAGGATTAGAGTGACAAACGAGCACACAGTCCACTTCAAGGTAAGTGGATGCTGTGGCCCATAGACATTTACATTTAACCTCGATTAAGAATCAAAATGCAGATGCGTTGTCACCCTTGAGGACTAAAATGGTATGCCTCGATTTCAGTAAAACGGGTCTCCGTTTCTCTACACTCACCATACGAAACACAGCAGCGTTAAGCTGCTATTTTACGCTAGTATTCTGTGAGAGCGCGGTCCTTTCCCGATCGAGCTGACCCATTCGTACTACAACCATAGTAGCTGCAGCGTGGCTCTACCACGTATGAATGTCAGTCCGTGGACACCTACACCCAATAATAAAAAGAAATCTACAGATGTTTAGTCATCTCTGTGGACTAAGATGGAACATCTCGCAGCCTGTGTGGCTCTATACACTTTAGACCGGAACGCAGCACTGCTATTTAGCGACAAAATCAACTTCACACATATTTTCAAAATATTTTTACTCCTCAGTCGTCATGTCGGTTTAATTTTAATATTTTCCTTAAGGACGCGTTTGCAAATCAACCAAAATTAGGGTGTTTTTCGGGAGATTTTGTGACAAAACTAAACCAAATCAAATATAAGTAAAAACTACCATGTATAGATTGGTTCTTCATCTGCAAACGTCTGTAACTCTTTTGTTGAAAATAGTAGTTTTTTATATTGTAAAAACGAACTTTCGTTGCCATTTTCTACAAAATTAACGATACCGGCTAGTGTTTCGGTACATGTTTTGGTCTATTATCAACATATTTAAAAAATTTAAAAAATACTATAAGATGACAGACATATTCAATTAAAAAACCCTGTGTTTATTTTTTATCAAAATGTCACAAATAGTCGTAGAAAAAATAAAAACTGATGCACATTTTTTTTACATATTTTGCTAATACGGATAAATCATAATCTATTGCAATAAGGGCTATTTTATTGTTGATGCCTGCTTTGATTTATTGTACAAAGATTTCGATGAAACCACAGTCCGCGCTCGGCCGCCGTCGTGAGTGGACACTGTATCGCCTGTTTGGAGCGGCTCATTCTGAAAAGATCGCTGTACATACACAAAATATTAGAAAAAAACAAATTGGAAACATAAGTACTTGACAAGTGATAAAATTATTATTTTTATACTCACAGTTTTTTATTTAGCTAAAAATAAGTAGGATGTATAAACTTACCTACTACTGCAACTCCTGGACGAGCGGAACTAGGTGTGCCGAGTTTGGGCTCGTTTTGTTGGTTATGATGAGACCTTACCTCCGGACTTGATGGCGTGACCTGAAGGTGTACTTTCGTGACCGCTATTTGAACTTCTTGCAGAGTAAAACTAGGGGTGGCGAATTTGGGCTCCGTTTTGTTAGTTATGACGAGTCCATACCTCCGGACTTGATGGAGTGACCTGAAGGTGTAAATCGGTGATTGCAACTGGAACTCCTAGACTGGTAGAACTAGGTGTGCCGAGTTTGGGTTCGTTTTGTAGGTTATGATGAGACCTTACCACCGGACTTGATGGAGTGACCTGAAGGTGTAGTTCAGTGATTACAAGTGGAACTCCTAGACTTGTAGACTAGGTGTGCCGAGTTTGGGTTCGTTTTGTTAGTTTGATGAGACCTTACCACCAGACTTGTTGGAGTGTCCTGAAGGGGTAATTCAGTAACTACTGCTGGAATTTCTGAACGAGTAGAACTAGGTGTGCCGAATTTGGGCTTCGTTTTGTTAGTTATGACGAGTCCATACCTCCGGACTTGATGGAGTGACCTGAAGGTGTAAATCGGTGATTGCAACTGGAACTCCTAGACTGGTAGAACTAGGTGTGCCGAGTTTGGGTTCGTTTTGTAGGTTATGATGAGACCTTACCACGGGACCTGATGGAGTGACCTGAAGGTGTAGTTCAGTGATTACAACAGGAACTCCTAGACTAGTGGAACTAGGTGTGCCGAGTTTGGGTTCGTTTTGTTAGTTATGATGAGACTTTACCACCAGACTTGTTGGAGTGTCCTGAAGGGGTAATTCAGTAACTATGGCTGGGATTTCTGAACGAGTAGAACTAGGTGTGCCGAATTTGGGCTTCGTTTTGTTGGTTATGATGAGACCTTACCACCGGACTTGATGGAGTGACCTGAAGGTGTAATTCGGTGATTACAAGTGGAACTCCTAGACTAGTAGAACTAGGTGTGCTGAGTTTGGGTTCGTTTTGTTGGTTATGATGAGACCTTTCCAACAGACTTGGTGGAGTGACCTGAAGGGCTAATTCAGTAACTACTGCTGGAATTTCTGAACGAGTAGAACTAGGTGTGCCGAATTTGGGCTTCGTTTTGTTAGTTATGACGAGTCCATACCTCCGGACTTGATGGAGTGACCTGAAGGTGTAAATCGGTGATTGCAACTGGAACTCCTAGACTGGTAGAACTAGGTGTGCCGAGTTTGGGTTCGTTTTGTAGGTTATGATGAGACCTTACCACCGGACTTGATGGAGTGACCTGAAGGTGTAGTTCGGTGATTACAAGTGGAACTCCTAGACTGGTAGAACTAGGTGTGCCGAGTTTGGGTTCGTTTTGTTAGTTATGATGAGACCTTACCACCAGACTTGATGGAGTGACCTGAAGGGGTAATTCGGTAGCTACTGCTGGAATTTCTGAACCAATAGAACTAGGTGTGCCGAATTTCACTCCATCAAGTCCAGTGGTAAGGTCTTATCGTAACTAACAAAACGAAACCAAACTCGTCACACCTAGTTCTACTAGTCTAGGAGTTCCATTTGTAACCACCTGATTACACCTTCAGGTCACTCAATCAAGTCCGGTGGTAAGGTCTCGTCGTAACTAACAAAACGAACCCGAACTCGGCACACCTAGTTCTACAAGTCTAGGAGTTCCACTTGTAATCACTGAACTACACCTTCAGGTCACTCCATCAGGTCCCGTGGTAAGGTCTCATCATAACCTACAAAACGAACCCAAACTCGGCACACCTAGTTCTACCAGTCTAGGAGTTCCAGTTGCAATCACCGATTTACACCTTGAGGTCACTCCATCAAGTCCGGAGGTATGGACTCGTCATAACTAACAAAACGAAGCCCAAATTCGGCACACCTAGTTCTACTCGTTCAGAAATTCCAGCAGTAGTTACTGAATTACCCCTTCAGGACACTCCAACAAGTCTGGTGGTAAGGTCTCATCATAACTAACAAAACGAACCCAAACTCGGCACACCTAGTCCTACAAGTCTAGGAGTTCCACTTGTAATCACTGAACTACACCTTCAGGTCACTCCATCAAGTCCGGTGGTAAGGTCTCATCATAACCTACAAAACGAACCCAAACTCGGCACACCTAGTTCTACCAGTCTAGGAGTTCCAGTTGCAATCACCGATTTACACCTTCAGGTCACTCCATCAAGTCCGGAGGTATGGACTCGTCATAACTAACAAAACGAAGCCCAAATTCGGCACACCTAGTTCTACTCGTTCAGAAATTCCAGCAGTAATTACTGAATTACCCCTTCAGGACACTCCAACAAGTCTGGTGGTAAGGTCTCATCATAACTAACAAAACGAACCCAAACTCGGCACACCTAGTTCCACTAGTCTAGGAGTTCCTGTTGTAATCACCAAATTACACCTTCAGGTCACTCCATCAAGTCCGCAGGTAGGTAAGGTCTTATTATAACTGACAAAACCAGTTCAAAGTCCAGAGCTAACATCTCACTACCAGTAGAGGGCTTCCAGTGCCAAGCAGTCTCTGGAGCAGGTATTCGTATTTCGTATCGAAGTATATTTCTGAGGTAGGTATAAGAAATGAAAAACAAATTCAATCTTTCAAATTATCAAAATAATTTCATTTGACTACGATTCCCACAGCCAACCGTGCGTACACTAGTGTGTGTGTGACTTTTGTCAATGTAGTAGTGCGATTCTATACCTATCAATTTTGTAAACGCGTCCTTAACCGCCAAGCTTAAATCAGTACTAAAACCGCAATTACTAACTTCATTACTGCAAGTAGGAAACAAACCCCGACTGTTGTACTATGAATAACTGTGAGCGTTTAGCTCTTGAGCTTAATTATTCAATAAATATTCCAAAATATGAAGAGTCAAAACCGAAGTCATACAGCTCTAGTTTCTATATTTCAGCTCCACCAACTCCAGAGAATTCCCCAACTAAAGCGCAAGCCGAGCCCGCTGAGCCAATACACGAACAAACAGTCCCGGGAACAGACAAAGAGAACACAATGTTGCCACCGGCGGCATCTGAAGTTCCACGACGGATATCCGCGCCTAGCAGAGAGGATACGCCAAAGGATAAAGGAAATGGTAAAATTAATGTTTCAACTATGGTCCTTTCGTACACTACTGTAATAGTCTTAAAGTTATAAATAACTAAAGTAATAACTAGCTAAGAGGCGATGCATATTATAGTCAACCAAATCTAAGAAATACATTTTGACGGCTGTCAGACTTATTGCCATGCCAACCAAAAAATGGGAACGTACAATATTCGATTCTTAAAAAAATCGACATCGATTATTTAGAGTTGGTAATCATTTAGTTTGGCTTGAATAATTACATAATATATTAAAAACGGATAATTTAAAACACTAGATTTACCAGTTTCTTCGTATTTGTTGTTACTGATTATTTCTAGAGGCACAGTTATAAAAATTCAAGATTGAAACTAGATTAAAAATAAATTCAATCAATCACTATGATTTCTTATATTTACGCGAACACTACACATTGAAATAATACTAGTTTTTACGGAATTTATCGCGTATATTTAACTTTTTAAATACCCGACGTTTCGAACGCTTTACAGCACTCATGGTCACGGGCAGGACTGAGATGTTCAACGTCCATATGTCATAGTTAACCGCGGTTACCATAGATTAAAATTTAACTTTTGTTCCGATCTATACAGTATGAACTTATGGTATCTTGAAGTCTTGCAGTTGTATGCTTGGGTTGGGATTTAATTTTATTTATTATAGGATCCCAAGCAGATGGTAGTACCCAGCCATCTTCTCTATTGAAATTAGATGTTTTTTTATTTCAATAGCCTCGCGAATCATCCTTGGAAGGAATCGGTGTTCTTTAGCGAGGATTTGCGGTCTATCAAATCTGATGTAGTGACGGGGGGCGATCCTGTACGTGTTCACAGACTTCGACGCTCCGGGAAGTCTGCAGTCTGTGAACACGCAAATCCTCACTAAAGAACACCGATTCCTTCCAAGGATGATTCGCGAGGCTATTGAAATCAAAAAACATCCTAATTTCAATAGAGAAGATGGCTGGGTGCTACCTTCTGCTTGGGATCCTATAATAAATAAAATTAAATCCCAACCCAAGCATACAACTGCAAGACTTCAAGATACCATAAGTTCATACTGTATAGATCGGAACAAAAGTTAAATTTTAATCTATGGTAACCGCGGTTAACTATGACATATGGACGTTGAACATCTCAGTCCCGCCCGTGACCATGAGTGCTGTAAAGCGTTCGAAACGTCGGGGTATTTAAAAAGTAAATATACGCGATAAATTCCGTAAAAACTTGTATTATTTCAATCAATCACTTTCAGTAAAACTAGTAGGAATGTCGTTGTTTATATTAATTATTATTTGATTTTCAATAATGAGTCAAAATTAATGTATCTTTCAAAGTCATCCATAATCAATTTTTTTTGTTTTTTCTACCACTTTTGCCCAATCATCCTTTGTGACATGGGCATATGCTTCAACAAATATATAGCACACAGTCCACCTTATGGTAAGTGAATGCTATGGCGCACAGACCTACATATTTATTCTCAATTAAGAATCAAAATGTAAATGCGTTGTCACCCCTGAGGATTAAGATGGAATGCCTCGATTCCAGTAAAACGGGTCTCCGGTTCTCTACACACACCATACGAAACACAGCAGCATTACACTGCTATTTTACGATGGTATTCTGTGAGCGCGTGGTCCTGTCTCAGTTGAGCCGACCCATTCGTGCTACAACTATAATATGGGTGTAGCGTGGCTCTACCACGTATAAAAAGTTAGTATAGAAGAAACAGTCCAAAAAGTGCAAAGTCACAAAATAAGAAGACAAACAAAAAAATCACAATTACGCACAATAAGCTCTCGAAACAGAAACGGAAACTTTTTTATTCAATATATTATTTTATATGAATAATACTTATTGAAAGTCAATTTTTCATTTACCACCGGTTCGCAAAAAAAACCTCTGTCCTGGGAAGAACCAGCAATAATCCTAACGGAACTAGTTTTTTTTAAGGATTAGTTTACAATCATGCGTGTTACAATTAACAACACAAAACAAATTAGAAATAACTTGGTAGCGATCACCCTTCCCAGCAGTTATTATCATCCATAAATTCCTTAATATTAAAATAACCCTTTTTACACAAACTTAGTTTAATAAAGTTTTTAAACTGTGTACTTACGTCAAATGTTATATATTTTCTGGGATTTTAGTGTAAAAGCGTATACATCGCCCCAAGATTGAATTATTGACTCTGTGAGTCGAGTAACTGGTAACGAAATGGCGGGATATTGAAATTATGTAATGGTTATTTTAGCACGGCCTTGTATATGAGATTTTTTGCCTACACAAATTTACTTTGACAAAGTAAAAAAAAATTGTTTTATCCATGATTCGTGTAATTTAAGGAATTTTGAAAATAAAAACTAAATTAAGCAAATAATATATTAAAAAAATTAATGATTCGATTATTTGAAAATTTTACCGATTATTTGAATATTTTGCCGATCATTCGCATGACAATGAATTTTAATCATCCAAACACTACGGTATTATACATAGCGACATATAATTGAAACGACGTTAAGTAAAAAAAGTTAATACTGATTATTTTTTAATATTTTGCTTTGTTTGAAAAATTCAAATTTAAATTAGTGATAAAAAACTATACGCGTTGTAATGAAATATAGATAACTTCGTAATTCTCCGGATTGACGTAAAAGGTTATTTTAAATCGTGTGAGTACGCTGGTGCAAAGTTATTGCGGAATGATGAATGTGAAACGTCAAAAGGTATTTCTAAGATTTGGGTGACTATAGTCGTCAGTAATGACACCGCATCGTAAAGAAGCCTGCAGCTTCTGTGTTTGATGTTGGTCGCAGATGTCCGTGGCGTGCAGTAGTAGTAATAAAAAAATAATTTCAAATTTTGAAAATGGAACTCTGCCAATATTTTGCCGTTTGGTGCTACCCTCTTTTTTTTTTTTTTTTTTTTTTTGTTTTTTAATAAAAAATTTTTTAAATGAATACTTTACAATTATATATTGTTTTAAAAAAAAAGGTTTAGTGGTGGGTTAACGACTGTATGTATTTTATTAATTTGTCATTTGTGTACGATTTGGCGACAAATTGAAAATGTTCTGTGTCAAATGACTTTTTTTTGACTTTCGATGTCATCTAAGTCAACAAGAAAGATGTATTCCACCAGTTGCAAACTGTGGCAACGTTGCCACAGTTTGCAACTAAGGGAAAGGTAAAGGTAAGCCCCCCCCCCCTTCTCCTCCAATGGCGCGCTTCTCCTCCACCTACTACATTTTATTTTTGGAATATCTATATAATCTTCCTTTGGATTACTTGTATGAAAAAAAAAAGTTTTTCATGAGATTTAATAAACAAACCGTTTACAGATGGAGACGACATGTCGCCAGCTTCAAGATATATAGCGATGGCGCGGCAAGGCCTGCTGGGTTGCGATTCTCAAGAGACGCCCAAGAGGATGCAAGAATTGAAAGATCAAGCTAGGCTAGGTAATGAAAATAGTAGTAACAAAAAATCGAACTAAAACACATTTTTTTATTATGACAGTTTGATTTTTGTACACCAAAACAAGACGCACTTGAAGTTAGAGCATAACACGATTAAAAAAGTTTGCCAATCTTAACCCTAATAGAAAAATTGATAACAGCAGCGCCTTTCTAATAACACCTAATAAAAACAGGTTGCCTATTCGTCTGCCAACTCGCCTGTCAAGCGTGGCAGCTGTGGCAAAAATCCTCCTTGTGAGGATGTATAGGGAGGCTTATGTTCAGTATCTTAATAGGCTAGCTTGGCACGTAATTAGTACGAAGTACTATTTACAGACAAGTGTGATATGTGAGTTTTTTTAATGTATGTTTTATTTTTTTCAGTTAGTGGATACTGCAATTTATGGACACCTACAGCCAACTTCAACAAATATAGCTATAGATGCATTGTCATTTAGGATTGATAAAATATCACACAACCTTTAATTATACTATTTCAATACCCTTCAGATTGGAACACGCTGTGCTCGCACCATTATTTGGCGGCAGAGTCATACATTTTTTTATGCAAAAATTTTTCAGCTTTTTTATAGGAGACGGGGTACATGAGCATACAACTCATCTGATGGTGATTACTGCCGCCCATGAAAAACTGCAACACCAGGGGACTTGCAGGTGCATTGCCAGCCTTTTAAAAAGGAGTAGGCTCTTTTCTTGAAGGTCCCTAAGTCGTATCAGTCCGGATAAATCTCTGGTGGTAGTCGATTTCGCAAGGAAGCTGTGCCTGAAAGAAAACTTCTTTTAAATCGCACAGTGGTGGACCACCGGTCATCCAGATGGTATTGTTGGTATCGCGAGTTTTGTTGCGATGTGCGATGGTGAAATTGTGCGACTGGAATTAGTCCGACCAATTAATTCCTCAGAGCGCTCACCGTGGTAATTGCAATAAAATATGCAAAGAGATACAACATCTCTTTGCAGTGCCAGTGAGTCAAGCCGATCGGAAAGAGCTCGGTCGCCGATGGTTCGAACAGCTCTGCACTGGATGCGATCAAATGGAAGGAGCTGGCACTGAGGAGCACCAGCACAGAGATGGGAACAGTACTCTATGTGCGGCCGACCCTGCGCGTTGTAGAGTTGCAGGCGGTATGCCGGAATGAAATACTGTCCCGTTCTGCTGAGCATGTCAAGCTTTTTATTTTAGAGGCCAATTCGGCCTTCTCTTTCAATTGACCACGAAACTGCACGTCACTCGATATGTCGACGCCGAGGATTCCGATACTGGCTGAGGCAACAAGACGAAGAGGTTCTTTTTAGCGGTAAACGCGATAACTTATGTCTTCTAGGGATTGAACTGGCCTAGATTTAGTCGCCCCCAGTCCGACAATTTGTCCCGGTACTCAACGACGTTTTCGCGAGAAATATTGGTACGGCCGGTGTATAAAGTATCACCAGTGCTGTTGTCCGCATGGCAATGAATGTTACCGGTTTGGAACATGTCATTGATATGCAGAAGAAACAGCGTTGGTGATAGCACGCAGCCTTTTGGAACACCAGCGTTAATGCGCTTGTAATCGGAGCATGTACCGTCTACTACAACCTTGATGCTTCGGTCTGCAAGAAAACTGGTGATCTAATTGCACAATTTCTCGGGAAGCCTATAGGAAGGGAGATTCGTAAGAAGCGCTTTGTGCCAAACCCGATCGAACGCCTTCGCTATGTCCAAACTAACGGCCAACGTCCCCCCCCCTGGACAGTATGGATTATTATACCATTGAAGAGTACATAGATACATAATAAATCCTGGAAATGAGGTGATCGATATCGAGATGTTTATAAACGTTTTTATACTAATTGCATAAAATAATATATTTTGGATAAATTTTATTTAAAAAAATTAATTTTTGCTTGTTCTTCACAGGATAGAGGATTTTTCCGAATCAGTGGTTAAAAGTAGATGACTTTCAATATGATTTCTTGTAGTCTATATTGAATAAAAAAATTCCATTACATTCTATTCTATTGTCTATCGCGTAGTCATATTCTGGATACGAATTGTAATACATATTATCTTCCACATCTATCACCGGATACTACTCCGGATACGGTTTGTGATACGTATCATTTACCACCGAGTACTAATCCGGATACGGTTTTTGATGCGTATAATTAACCGTCTAGTAACACACAAGTTAAATTAAACGCGATATAATCTGTAAAGTTAGGCGTGTGGTACGGTTGCAGGTCCGGAGGCGGTGCATACGCCACCGCTGGAAGAGGCGCTGTCGTCGCCCAACCTGGCGGCGTTCAGCCCCGCCTCGCGCCGCCGCCTGCGTGCGCTGCGCCGCGGCGAGCCGCCCTCCGGCCCCATCCGCACGCCGCAGGACCCGTGTCAGTTGCACCGTTACACCGCTACACCACAACACCACAACACCATATTGCACCTATGTCACACTGCCTCGTTGCTCTAGTGCTCGATGACGACAGTATGCGAACCATCGGGCCCTATCCGCACGGCGCAGGACCCGTGTCAGTTGCACCGCTACACCACAACACCACAACACCACAACACTTGCACCTTGTCACACTGCCTCGTTGCTCTAGTGCTCGATGACGACAGTATACCATCGGGCCCCCGCACGCCGCAGGACCCGTGTCAGTTGCACCGCTACACCACAACACCACAACACTTCACCCACACGTACACCACAACACTTGCACCTTGTCACACTGCCTCGTTGCTCCAGTGCTCGATGACGACAGTATACCATCGGGCCCCCGCACGCCGCAGGACCCGTGTCAGTTGCACCGCTACACCACAACACCACAACACTTGCACCTTGTCACACTGCCTCGTTGCTCTAGTGCTCGATGACGACAGTATACCATCGGGCCCCCGCACGCCGCAGGACCCGTGTCAGTTGCACCGCTACACCACAACACCACAACACCACAACACTTGCACCTTGTCACACTGCCTCGTTGCTCTAGTGCTCGATGACGACAGTATACCATCGGGCCCCCGCACGCCGCAGGACCCGTGTCAGTTGCACCGCTACACCACAACACCACAACACCACAACACCACAACACTTTGCACCTTGTGACACTGCCTCGTTGCTCTAGTGCTCGATGACGACAGTATACCATCGGGCCCCCGCACGCCGCAGGACCCGTGTCAGTTGCACCGCTACACCACAACACCACAACACCACAACACCCTTTGCACCTTGTCACACTGCCTCGTTGCTCTAGTGCTCGATGATGACAGTATACCATCGGGCCCCCGCACGCCGCAGGACCCGTGTCAGTTGCACCGCTACACCACAACACCACAACACTTGCACCTTGTCACACTGCCTCGTTGCTCTAGTGCTCGATGACGACAGTAGGTACCCTCGGGCCCCATACGCACGCCGCAGAACCCGTGTCAGTTGCACCGCTACACCACAACACCACAACACATTGCACCTTGTCACACTGCCTCGTTGCTCTAGTGCTCGATGACGACAGTATACCATCGGGCCCCCGCACGCCGCAGGACCCGTGTCAGTTACACCGCTACACCACAACACCACAACACTTGCACCTTGTCACACTGCCTCGTTGCTCTAGTGCTCGATGACGACAGTATACCATCGGGCCCCCGCACGCCGCAGGACCCGTGTCAGTTGCACCGCTACACCACAACACCACAACACCACAACACTTGCACCTTGTCACACTGCCTCGTTGCTCTAGTGCTCGATGACGACAGTATACCATCGGGCCCCCGCACGCCGCAGGACCCGTGTCAGTTGCACCGCTACACCACAACACCACAACACTTGCACCTTGTCACACTGCCTCGTTGCTCTAGTGCTCGATGACGACAGTATACCATCGGGCCCCCGCACGCCGCAGGACCCGTGTCAGTTGCACCGCTACACCACAACACCACAACACCACAACACTTGCACCTTGTCACACTGCCTCGTTGCTCTAGTGCTCGATGACGACAGTATACCATCGGGCCCCCGCACGCCGCAGGACCCGTGTCAGTTGCACCGCTACACCACAACACCACAACACCAAAACTTGCACCTTGTCACACTGCCTCGTTGCTCTAGTGCTCGATGACGGCAGTATACCATCGGGCCCCCGCACGCCGCAGGACCCGTGTCAGTTGCACCGCTACACCACAACACCACAACACCACAACACCATTGCACCTTGTCACACTGCCTCGTTGCTCTAGTGCTCGATGACGACAGTATACCATCGGGCCCCCGCACGCCGCAGGACCCGTGTCAGTTGCACCGCTACACCACAACACCACAACACTTGCACCTTGTGACACTGCCTCGTTGCTCTAGTGCTCGATGACGACAGTATACCATCGGGCCCCCCGCACGCCGCAGCACCCGTGTCAGTTGCACCGCTACACCACAACACCACAACACTTGCACCTTGTCACACTGCCTCGTTGCTCTAGTGCTCGATGACGACAGTATACCATCGGGCCCCAACGCACGCCGCAGAACCCGTGTCAGTTGCACCGCTACACCACAACACCACAACACCTTGCACCTTGTCACACTGCCTCGTTGCTCTAGTGCTCGATGACGACAGTATACCATCGGGCCCCCCGCACGCCGCAGGACCCGTGTCAGTTGCACCGCTACACCACAACACCACAACACTTGCACCTTGTCACACTGCCTCGTTGCTCTAGTGCTCGATGACGACAGTATACCATCGGGCCCCCGCACGCCGCAGGACCCGTGTCAGTTGCACCGCTACACCACAACACCACAACACCACAACACTTGCACCTTGTCACACTGCCTCGTTGCTCTAGTGCTCGATGACGACAGTATACCATCGGGCCCCCGCACGCCGCAGGACCCGTGTCAGTTGCACCGCTACACCACAACACCACAACACATTGCACCTTGTCACACTGCCTCGTTGCTCTAGTGCTCGATGACGACAGTATACCATCGGGCCCCCGCACGCCGCAGGACCCGTGTCAGTTGCACCGCTACACCACAACACCACAACACCACAACACTTGCACCTTGTCACACTGCCTCGTTGCTCTAGTGCTCGATGACGACAGTATACCATCGGGCCCCCGCACGCCGCAGGACCCGTGTCAGTTGCACCGCTACACCACAACACCACAACACACAACATTGCACCTTGTCACACTGCCTCGTTGCTCTAGTGCTCGATGACGACAGTATACCATCGGGCCCCCGCACGCCGCAGGACCCGTGTCAGTTGCACCGCTACACCACAACACCACAACACTTGCACCTTGTCACACTGCCTCGTTGCTCTAGTGCTCGATGACGACAGTATACCATCGGGCCCCCGCACGCCGCAGGACCCGTGTCAGTTGCACCGCTACACCACAACACCACAACACCACAACACTTGCACCTTGTCACACTGCCTCGTTGCTCTAGTGCTCGATGACGACAGTATACCATCGGGCCCCCGCACGCCGCAGGACCCGTGTCAGTTGCACCGCTACACCACAACACCACAACACCACAACACTTGCACCTTGTCACACTGCCTCGTTGCTCTATTGCTCGATGACGACAGTATACCATCGGGCCCCCGCACGCCGCAGGACCCGTGTCAGTTGCACCGCTACACACCACAACCTTGCACCTTTACATGCTACCAGACCATCCCCGCCACCACACACCTTGCACCTTGCCTGCCTCGTTGCTCTATTGCTCGATGACGACAGTATACCATCGGGCCCCCCGCACGCCGCAGGACCCGTGTCAGTTGCACCGCTACACCACAACACCACAACACCACAACACCACAACACTTGCACCTTGTCACACTGCCTCGTTGCTCTAGTGCTCGATGATGACAGTATACCATCGGGCCCCCCGCACGCCGCAGGACCCGTGTCAGTTGCACCGCTACACCACAACACCACAACACCACAACACTTGCACCTTGTCACACTGCCTCGTTGCTCTAGTGCTCGATGACGACAGTATACCATCGGGCCCCCCGCACGCCGCAGGACCCTGTGTCAGTTGCACCGCTACACCACAACACCACAACACCACAACACTTGCACCTTGTCACACTGCCTCGTTGCTCTAGTGCTCGATGACGACAGTATACCATCGGGCCCCCGCACGCCGCAGGACCCGTGTCAGTTGCACCGCTACACCACTACACCACAACACCACAACACTTGCACCTTGTCACACTGCCTCGTTGCTCTAGTGCTCGATGACGACAGTATACCATCGGGGCCCCCGCACGCCGCAGGACCCGTGTCAGTTGCACCGCTACACCACAACACTTGCACCTTGTCACACTGCCTCGTTGCTCTAGTGCTCGATGACGACAGTATACCATCGGGCCCCCGCACGCCGCAGGACCAGTGTCAGTTGCACCGCTACACCACAACACCACAACACTTGCACCTTGTGACACTGCCTCGTTGCTCTAGTGCTCGATGACGACAGTATACCATCGGGCCCCCGCACGCCGCAGGACCCGTGTCAGTTGCACCGCTACACCACAACACCACAACACCACAACACTTGCACCTTGTCACACTGCCTCGTTGCTCTAGTGCTCGATGACGACAGTATACCATCGGGCCCCCGCACGCCGCAGGACCCGTGTCAGTTGCACTGCTACACCACAACACCACAACACTTGCACCTTGTCACACTGCCTCGTTGCTCTAGTGCTCGATGACGACAGTATACCATCGGGCCCCCGCACGCCGCAGGACCCGTGTCAGTTGCACCGCTACACCACAACACCACAACACTTGCACCTTGTCACACTGCCTCGTTGCTCTAGTGCTCGATGACGACAGTATACCATTGGGCCCCCGCACGCCGCAGGACCCGTGTCAGTTGCACCGCTACACCACAACACCACAACACCACAACACTTGCACCTTGTCACACTGCCTCGTTGCTCTAGTGCTCGATGACGACAGTATACCATCGGGCCCCCGCACGCCGCAGGACCCGTGTCAGTTGCACTGCTACACCACAACACCACAACACCACAACACTTGCACCTTGTCACACTGCCTCGTTGCTCTAGTGCTCGATGACGACAGTATACCATCGGGCCCCCGCACGCCGCAGGACCCGTGTCAGTTGCACCGCTACACCACAACACCTTGCACCTTGTCACACTGCCTCGTTGCTCTAGTGCTCGATGACGACAGTATACCATCGGGCCCCCGCACGCCGCAGGACCCGTGTCAGTTGCACCGCTACACCACAACACCACAACACTTGCACCTTGTCACACTGCCTCGTTGCTCTAGTGCTCGATGACGACAGTATACCATCGGGCCCCCGCACGCCGCAGGACCCGTGTCAGTTGCACCGCTACACCACAACACCACAACACCACAACACTTGCACCTTGTCACACTGCCTCGTTGCTCTAGTGCTCGATGACGACAGTATACCATCGAGCCCCCGCACGCCGCAGGACCCGTGTCAGTTGCACTGCTACACCACAACACCACAACACTTGCACCTTGTCACACTGCCTCGTTGCTCTAGTGCTCGATGACGACAGTATACCATCGGGCCCCCGCACGCCGCAGGACCCGTGTCAGTTGCACCGCTACACCACAACACCACAACACCACAACACTTGCACCTTGTCACACTGCCTCGTTGCTCTAGTGCTCGATGACGACAGTATACCATCGGGCCCCCGCACGCCGCAGGACCCGTGTCAGTTGCACCGTTACACCACAACACCACAACACCACAACACTTGCACCTTGTCACACTGCCTCGTTGCTCTAGTGCTCGATGACGACAGTATACCATCGGGCCCCCGCACGCCGCAGGACCCGTGTCAGTTGCACCGCTACACCACAACACCACAACACCCTTGCACCTTGTCACACTGCCTCGTTGCTCTAGTGCTCGATGACGACAGTATACCCTCCGGCCCCACGCACGCCGCAGAACCCGTGTCAGTTGCACCGCTACACCACAACACCACAACACTTGCACCTTGTCACACTGCCTCGTTGCTCTAGTGCTCGATGACGACAGTATACCATCGGGCCCCCGCACGCCGCAGGACCCGTGTCAGTTGCACCGCTACACCACAACACCACAACACTTGCACCTTGTCACACTGCCTCGTTGCTCTAGTGCTCGATGACGACAGTATACCATCGGGCCCCCGCACGCCGCAGGACCCGTGTCAGTTGCACCGCTACACCACAACACCACAACACTTGCACCTTGTCACACTGCCTCGTTGCTCTAGTGCTCGATGACGACAGTATACCATCGGGCCCCCGCACGCCGCAGGACCCGTGTCAGTTGCACCGCTACACCACAACACCACAACACCTTGCACCTTGTCACACTGCCTCGTTGCTCTAGTGCTCGATGACGACAGTATACCATCGGGCCCCCGCACGCCGCAGGACCCGTGTCAGTTGCACCGCTACACCACAACACATTGCACCTTGTCACACTGCCTCGTTGCTCTAGTGCTCGATGACGACAGTATACCCTCGGGCCCCACGCACGCCGCAGAACCCGTGTCAGTTGCACCGCTACACCACAACACCACAACACTTGCACCTTGTCACACTGCCTCGTTGCTCTAGTGCTCGATGACGACAGTATACCATTGGGCCCCCGCACGCCGCAGGACCCGTGTCAGTTGCACCGCTACACCACAACACCACAACACCACAACACTTGCACCTTGTCACACTGCCTCGTTGCTCTAGTGCTCGATGACGACAGTATACCATCGGGCCCCCCGCACGCCGCAGGACCCGTGTCAGTTGCACCGCTACACCACAACACCACAACACCACTTGCACCTTGTCACACTGCCTCGTTGCTCTAGTGCTCGATGACGACAGTATACCATCGGGCCCCCGCACGCCGCAGGACCCGTGTCAGTTGCACCGCTACACCACAACACCACAACACTTGCACCTTGTCACACTGCCTCGTTGCTCTAGTGCTCGATGACGGCAGTATGCCATCGGGCCCCCGCACGCCGCAGGACCCGTGTCAGTTGCACCGCTACACCACAACACCAACTTGCACCTTGTCACACTGCCTCGTTGCTCTAGTGCTCGATGACGACAGTATACCCTCGGGCCCCATACGCACGCCGCAGAACCCGTGTCAGTTGCACCGCTACACCACAACACCACAACACCAACTTGCACCTTGTCACACTGCCTCGTTGCTCTAGTGCTCGATGACGACAGTATACCATCGGGCCCCCGCACGTCGCAGGACCCGTGTCAGTTGCACCGCTACACCACAACACCACAACACTTGCACCTTGTCACACTGCCTCGTTGCTCTAGTGCTCGATGACGACAGTAGATACCCTCGGGCCCCACGCACGCCGCAGAACCCGTGTCAGTTGCACCGCTACACACAACACCACAACACCACAACACTTGCACCTTGTCACACTGCCTCGTTGCTCTAGTGCTCGATGACGACAGTATACCCTCGGGCCCCACGCACGCCGCAGGACCCGTGTCAGTTGCACCGCTACACCACAACACCACAACACCATTGCACCTTGTCACACTGCCTCGTTGCTCTAGTGCTCGATGACGACAGTAGATACCCTCGGGCCCCACGCATGCCGCAGGACCCGTGTCAGTTGCACCGCTACACCACAACACCACAACACTTGCACCTTATCGCACTGCCTCGTTGCTCTAGTGCTCGATGACGACAGTACGTGAGCTACCCTCCGGCCCCATCCGCACGCCCAAGAGCCATGTAAGTTGCACCGCAACACCACAACGTTTGCACCTTGTCACCCTGCCTCGTTGCAACCCACTTTTTTAAAGACTTGCAACGAATAATATTTTGTATATAAGACACTTAATGTCCAAATCGCATTAATTTTACTTATCAAAATCCACTTCCACATGATCAGTAGTCGCGATGACGAACACTAGACCAATGAGGCAATCAATTCAGTAAAAAAGTATTAAATAATTAAAATATGTAACAATATATTTGCAGTCGAGAAAAATCCGGAAACCCCGGACAGTGCGTTCGGAGCTGCCTTACGGCCCGGGTCCGGTCCACTGTCCCCGGACTCGCGTAAACGACTATGGAGGGTCGTCAACGAACTGCCGACAAAACAGCAGCAACCAACAAGAGAGCAACACACTGTTAGTATCATCTGTTCAGTAAAATCTATATATTAATACATGTCAGAAAATTTTGTACCCTTTTTAAAGCATATTGTTGTATTTGGCATAGTTAAAGTTTATATAGAGGAGTGCAGAAAATTAAATTTAAATAATATGTGTTACAAATACATTGAATTAAATTAAAATAACATTAATTGTTTAAGTTCATACTGCCAAGGTCAATTGTCAAACAAATAATAGTCTGTGGTCGAACAGAGTAGAGATTGTCGCTAAAGACTTTTAAAATATTGTCGATAAAATACTGACAGATTGACTAAAGAATCTTTGAATTTTGTGTGATTTCTTTTGTTCCTTTTTAATAGATTGGATTGTATGTCAAGGCAAAATGCGTTTATTTTATAATTTATAAATTACATTTCTGTATTTTATTTGTTAATATGTAATTGAAAGTGACATACAGTTTGCCTAATATGCAAACCTAAAAAATTTACGAATTACGGTCGATTTTTAAACACAAGACATTATAATTATCAACCTAAATATTGTAAAATGAATACTTTATATTTTTCAATTGCAGCCACTTTCGGAGATAAGGAATCGTTTCCTGGCGCAGTTCCACTCGGACTCGTCCACGCCGCCTTCAGACCACCCGGTCGCACCGAGGAAGCTGCATTTACAAGTGACTTTCATTTCTATTATTCACACGTGGTAAAGCCACGCTGTAGCTTTCTTTTATTATAATATTTACTTTTATATTATAATATATTGTACACAAACTTTTATTTCCCTATAACCAATAAAATCACTAAGCATTATTAGAATTAACTTCCAAACAAAGGAAAATCTCCTTATTGGAAGTTCAGTAGTCGAAAGAAGCTGTAGTGTTTCTATTACCGATGGTTACTAACCACCCTCAAAATAATTGTCATGGAGATACTTACAGTAGTTTTGTAAGATTACACAGATAGACAAAATTCTAAAAATTATTAATATTGCTTACATAATATATCCTTTAATCGGCATATATGATAAGGATATAGAACGATAAGTGAACGCAGGAAATAGAGTAAATAGAGCTTTGCACTCAATGCAGGAAAGTCAGAATGTGTCAAAAAGTGCATGTGACAATTCACAATGCTGTGTTAGTCCCTACTTTAACATATGATAGTGAAAGTTGGGTGTGGTAGAAGAAGCACGAGAGTAGAATAAGCGCAGTAGAAAGTCGATCGTTAGGGAGTATGTTAGAGCTTAATGTAAGTGGCAGGGTGAGAAATTGTGTGATAAGAGAATAGTGTGGTTTGCAAGATGATTTTGTGACCAGAATTAAGAAAAAAAAAATGCTTCGTTGATTTGGGCATATAGAATCAAGGAGTGACAAAGCATATTTATGTTGCAGAAGTGAACGGCAGTGTTGGAAAGGGACGTTCTAGGCGAAAGTTTATCGACCAAATTGGCGATATGTTGAAAAAGGGCCAAATTGGGAGTACCCTTAACCGACGAGCATGTATGCGTAGGTATATAGATGTGAAGGAGGCGAGAGAGATGTGTCATGATCGTGCCGAGTGGAAGTCTGTAGTCTCTGCCTACCCCTTGGGTATAGGCGTGAGTGTGACAGGCGTGAGTGTTTATTTATGTGTATGTATTAACTTGGGTATACAATGTCTTTTATTATTTATATGGGATTTTTAAGTGATATATTGTTATACTTCTATTGTATTGAATATATAATTTTCAAACAAATTTTATTCACACAAAATATCACACTATGTCATCACACCCATTGGTAAAGAGACAATGGCTAAAGATATCAAGTCCACCCTTTGTAACTGTTTTGTTAAATGTAAACAATAAAGTGTAAAATAAATAAATTATATTATTATGATAATAAACTCCTAAATCGTTTGCCCATTACAGTATTCTGCTTATTTCAACCACGTTGACAACTTCTAAATACTGTAGTAAGCTGTTTTGTTGACTCTATGTTGACCATAGTTGTAAGCGCTACAGATCATGATGTCTCGGGTTCGAGTTCGAAGAGTAGAGAATGTTCGGGCCAAAATCAATTATTGTTTTTTTCTGTCAAGAAATTCTCATTAGCAACCCGATGTCCTTTATAATACCGCAGTATGAAATAACTTTATTTCCTTTTCCTCTTTACTACAATCTATTTTTCTTCATTAATCTGTAAAAGTTGGAATGACCATCGTAGTTACGCTGAGGTCGGTTTTAGTGCTCGACCGAACGTTGGTGTGTACGTCGGTGCTCGAACGACCGTACGCACGCGTATATTGCTACGCACTGCGTACGAGGACCGTCGGTCAAGCGCGTCCGCATGCGTGCCGTCGGTCGACCGACGCGCTATGGAAACATATTGACGCGTTCAGTGCTACACCGATTGGTGGATCGACCGTACGGATCCGCGTATCATCATCAAAAAAAAATTTAACCTACTATTTCAAAACTTAAATAATATTGTTGGATTTTATAAGTTTTTAAGTAATTTTGATCAAATTATGGCATATATCGACACCGAACGCCGAAATTTACCGAATTACCGAAGTTCGTCTTCGTGTACTTCTGAGGGACAAAGGCCACGTGTTATACAAACATCGTAATGCCAACTTAAAGGCCTGGGAAGAAGTTTGTACAGCTTTGTGTCCGAATTTCGATGGGCATACGTGATATTTACGTCTTCTGTTCCTTATACGTTTACAAACATAGGAAGGAGCAATTAAACAATTTATAAACACGTGAATTTCGTATATATTTTTGTGATTATACCAGTCCGCCAATTTGGTTAGTCTGGAGAGCACTGAACGTTACAAACTGACGATCGGTTATGCGTATTGTCAGGAACGATGGTACGCACCGACGGTCGGTCGAGCACTAAAATCGGCCTAATAATCTTTCGTTAACAAGATGTCGCTAATTGGGATTGCGGTGAGGATATTTGTTACTATGATAGAGTTGTTAATGATTGAGATGTTATTATGATAGAGAAAATGCGTTTCAAGTTAGAGATTTTTTGGTTTCTGCAGTATATAAGTAAATAAAACAATGCCGCAGTGATTTTTTTTATACTTTTTGCACATTTGTTATCTCGTTTTTAATTTTCTACTTTTAGGATTATCCGCTGATTGGTTACTCCATTTCGAATCTAATTGATATAAAATATAACTAATATTATACCATACCTGAATACTAATATAATACCTGAAAACTAAGTTGTACAACCAGAGCGTATTGCCAGTGATGACCTACGGAACAGAGACGTGGTCCTTCACTGCTGGCCGTATGAGGATGCTCAAAGTCGCTCAGCAAGCTATGGAGAGGGCTATGCTCGGGGTTTCTCTGCGTGATAAACTTAGAAATGATGGGATATCCGCAGTAGAACCAGAGTGACCGACATAGCCCAACGGATTAGTAATCTGAAGTGGCAATGGGCCGGCCATATGGCTCGAAGAACCGTCAACTGTTGGGGAAAAAAGGTTCTCGAGTGGCAGCCTCGTACCGGTAGGCGAAGTGTAGGGCGAGCCCCCACTAGATGGAGCGACGACCTGGTAAGACATGCAGGAAGTCGATGGATGCAGGTGGCTGAGGACCGTGCTTTGTGGCGTACCTTGGGGGAGGCCTATGTTCAGCAGTGGACTTGTGTAGGGCTGTAATGATTATGATGATGATAACTAATATCACAGAAATAACCATTAACCTTCACATTTTATTAACAAGTTAATTTCCCCCCGCCATAGGATCTGTTAAATACTTCACCTCATTTCTTAATGGCGCTGCTCTGGCGACAAAAAAATCGTAGATTTCCTCATTATGACGTTACTGTCCGTCACCAGCCTGGATATCTTACATTTGTCGTAAGCGGGTTGGTTAATATGCCATAGGAAGCCATGGCATTTTTCCTTCGGTTCTAGTCGCTTCTTAAATCCATGGGACGAAATTAGGTGATGGTATTTCTTATGCCGTTAACACACAATAATGTTTAATTTTTATCTTTATTTTAGGATCAATCTGAAACCCCACCACCGAAAATGGTGAAATTATCGGTAGAACAGGTAATAATGTTTTCTTTTTTAAGTCTAATCTATACGTGGTAGAGTCACGTTGCATATTATAGTTGTAGCACGAATGGGTCGGCTCGACCGGGAAAGGACAACGCTCTCACAGAATACCAACGTGAAATAGTAGCTGAACGCTGCTGTGTTTCTTATGGTGAGTGTAGAGAACCGGAGACTCTTTTACTGAAAACGAGCCATTTCATATTTGTCCTCTGGGGTGACAATGCATCTGCATTTTGATTCGTAATCGAGGATAGATGTAGATGTCTATGGGCCGCAGCAACCACTTACTATCAGGTGGACTGTGTGCTCGTTTGTCGGCCTTATTCTATATAAAATATCCGCGTGTACACAAACAAATACGTAATCCAGCAGTTTATGTTTGCATTGAAGTTGTGTTTGGCTGGGAATTGAACATGTGAAGTAATAAACGCGCTTACAGTGGGTGCGTTTGGCAGAAAAAAGCGCTAGCAAGCGCTTGTAAGCAAAATGGCGATCGTAAGCGGTAAACGCTGTCAAATCGTAAGTAGCTATTTTCCTCCAGGACACGATGTTAGTTCTAACCGGGGAACCTAACCTAATTTAAATATATGTTTGTAAAGTATTCATATTAAAAACTTACTAATCATGATTTTTTAATAACATGTATATGTTTATTCACGTTATTATATTACTTAAAACTAATATTGCACAAAACAACTTATAAATTCTACTTCAAAACAAACAAATTAAATAAGCAAAATGGCGGATTGTGTCAGCGCTACTGAAGTAGTAATCGTGTCCTGGCAGAAAACTATTTCAGCGCTTGTAAGCGCTTGCTAGCGCTTTTTTCTGCCAAACGCACCCAGTGCACCTGATGGTAAGTGGCTACTGCAGCCCACGGGCACTTGCAGCCAACTTCAAACAAAGACAGCGATATACAGATGCGTTGTCACTTCTGAGGACTAAGATGGAATGTTTCACAGCCTATAATTTTTCTGGCTCGCTATACCCTTTGGACTTGAACACAGCAGTTCAAGCACTACTATTGGAAGTAGAAACAGGTAAGACGATGGTACCTAATGATTAACTTATGTAATATTCCTTATTAGCTTTGCCTCTGGTCGGTTTCTTTACTCATGTGGTATAGTCATTTATTTGATTATGCATGTAACTATAATACAATAAATGGTTAAATTTCATATGTTATGTCGATATGTTAACTTTCTGATAATGCTGAACTCCACCTATACAATTTATTCCAGGGCGTCGGCAGTATCGCGTCAGAGACAGACGTCAGTGGGAAATGTGAATCGAGCACTTCAAGCGCTAGCAAAACCCTCCCAGCCGCGGTCGATGCTCAGTTACAGCGCTTAAGCGCTGCCTTAACCAATCGACTTAGCTCTCAAAGAGCGAAGCGATCGAGGGACTCCGTTAGTGTCACTCCAGGTACGTATTTTTTGATCTAGGGCTATCTTGTCCAGAAAACGTAATACATTCTACGAAAATGTAATTTATGTACACACAAATATAACTAGTTTAAAAAATAAGTGATATTCAATCTGTAAATATTAGGAGCAGACACAAGCTTCTGCACTAAGTGAGTAATACATTGATAGGCTCTCAATTTCATTCTCTCCATTTTTCAATAAAATTTGCCCCCGCTAAGTTCAAAAACTATATTAAACAAATATTGTATAAAAGAGTTATTATATAATATTAAAGACTATGAAAGATAATATCTCCTGGGAATGGGGTGATTGCTACCAAGCTTTTTATTTTAAAGATTAGCTTTTCAGCGATAAATAAAATATAAGAAGTTATTTTTATAAACAACACACCATTTAAGTGAAAGTGTGCCTCATCTGAGAAAAACACGTTATTGAAGGTCGGAAACCTTTTTAGCATTTCGTTAGCAAACTGTAATCTCTTATCATGGTCACTTGGATTTTGTAAAGGTGTAATAGTTTAAAAGCCAGTGGGCGGCAGACTTACGGTATTTCAATAAGCTTCACATTTTTTTCAGTTAATCCCCTATACCTGACGTACATGAAATGGGGACTCTTTAGTTTGACCGGTGGTCAATATAGATGCTCAGGTGTTGAAGGTTTAAAAAATTACCAAAAGAAACTTGATAGTAATACGTCTACCGCTTTGACATCTTGAAATATTCAATAAAAGTTACCGATAAATAACATTGACAGACACCTATAATGGTCTCACGGTCTTGGCAAACAGCTTGAAAAGTACAATTTTTTATTAAAAATTTACGTTATTTCAATAAAGCTGCAATTTATTTATATTGTTGATAATATTATTTGACATGTATAATTTTCATGGCAGACATATATTGTGGTCCTATCACCCAGGCAGAGAAACAAACTTCGGGCGTCCATAAGCGCGTACTAATAGCCCTCGCTCTAATCCAGTCGTTAGATTAATTAAAAAAAAATGTATTACATTAATTGAAAGTAATAATACTATAGTTTCATATTGATTGCAATTAATTATAATTACGGGTTATAAAAATAATAAATGTTCAATATGCACACAGTAGTTAATATTTATTTATTTGTGTTTTAATGTTGTGATGTCATAATAAAATTAATTTATTGATGAAAATGTATATTACGTATTTTATTGAAAATCTCAATAATTTTAAAGATAATTATTCTTGGCTATCGTAGTTGTAGCCCAGTAAGTAATCCCATCGAAATCTAAATTCTCATCATCAGACGGAATTATTTCTGCAAAGAATAAGTTTCAATTTGTAAATCAAGCCAATTATAATAAAAAAATTAAAAAGTATAAATTCATATAAAAGAAAATTACTCGGTAGATTTGCGACTAATTCATTCACAAAACTGGGCAACTGATCTCCATCAAACCATTTAAATATGTACGTATTATTTATCTTCTATCCAGCCGTGCTCCAGTGGATCTAATAATACTGAATATTTTTTGTGAGAATTTTTCCTAACGCTGGAAATATAATGCGCCATTAAAAATTGCTGACACAGCCTACTTTTACACGGTGGTAAAGAGCTTCCATTAAAACAGTGTAATTTTTACTACATTTTTCATTAACATCTTTTGATCTGTAATTATTTATGAAAAGATGGAACCTGCCATCATCTACATCTACTGATTTCTTCGCATTTTATATTTGACAGGTAAACTTTTGGACAACATTAAAAAGCTGTTTAAATAAATAAATAAATTTATTCACAAGAAATATGGTACAAGGATGTTATAAAATAATAATGTATCACATATTTTACCAATTTTGGTATATGAAAACTTATTTACTAATTAACTTATTGTTAGAATATACAAAATTTACACGTATCTCACTTTACAATATTTAATATTAATCCTTTAAAACACAATCAAAAAGGAAACAGCGTTTAACAGTCAATAGAAACGTTCTTTTATTTTTAGCAGTTCATTTACCGAATAAAATTGTTTTTCTAGAAGCCACTTTAATAAATTACGATCGATTATAATCTAGTTGCCTTATTTTATTTGGAATTTTATTAAATACTTGAATAGCCATCACATAGCAATTTTTTGAGTACAGGCTTGTTTTTAATGAAGGTAAAATAATTTTATCTGGGTATCTGGTACTATATGTTACTGTATCTTTTAACCTAGTAAAAAATAAGAATACTTTTTTACGAATATTGAAAGTTCAAAAATGTACATGGATGGTAGCGTAAGAACACCCAATTCTTTAAACAGTGGTTTGCAAGAAACTAGTGGCCCGACACCACAAATTGCTCGTATACAGCGTTTTTGTGCTATAAAGGCACGATTTACATCAGTCGAGTTTCCCCATAATATGAGACCATGTCTTAATACAGCAGCGACAAATGCATGATATGCTATAAGGGAAGTGTTTCTTGACGAGATTGCCTTCGCAAAGCAAAATTAAATTTAAATATTTTTGAACAAACTTTATCTATGTGATTTTTCCAATTACAATGTTTGTCTAAATTAATACCTAAAAATGTAGTACATTCAGTAGCAGTAATTTTTTCACCATTTTTGCTTTTTTTATTCTCAGCTAAATTACTGTCACCCAAAGCTGCGAAGACTTCTTGGTATATCTGGATTTTCTGTAGTAAAGTAAAGGGTCGTTTTTTTCCCTTATCAGGAAAGGTGGATTTTAACACAGCATAGAAACCAATGTACAGTAAAAAATAATATATATAATGATAAATTCCTTGAATTTAGTCTTTTTCATTTCTTTTGAAAAATCTGCTGGTCTTGTTTGATCAGGCCCAGAAGTGACATTCTCACTTTGTTTGCATGTCATGCCGTAGGAGCGTGTGTGCTTATTGAACATTTATTATTTTTATAACCCGTAATTATTATTAATTGCAATCTTCTAGCTTCTAATTAACGTGAGTTTTAATGGATTATAAAGTATCATCACCATCATCACCATCACCATCATCATCATCATCATCATCATCATCATCATCATCATCATCATCATCATCATCATCATCATCATCATCATCACAGGCCTTCACAAGTCCATTGTTGAACATAGACCTTCCCCGAGGAATGCCATAAAACACGGTAAAAAGTATATTTAGTTATGATTTCTTATTATTAGCCAATTTTTGATTAGCTGTATATTCTTACTTATTTGTAAGAAGTGAAAGTAAAATTTTGGCAGTAGATACTTTCCTTGTATTTGAAGTTGAGCAAACGTGACGAGGTGGCCGAGTGGTTAAGGCGTTGGACTGCTAATCCAATGTGCTCTGCACGCGTGGGTTCGAATCCCATCCTCGTCGACGTTTTTTGTACTTTTCGAAATTTTTAAATTTCGCGTGATGATTTATACCTGAATGGAATTCTCTTTAGATTATTTATTTGTTAAATTTATGACCGACGGAATATTCTCGTGAGATTTTTAATTTTTATGATTAATTTATATTTAAGTTTTCTTACGCCATTGTATAAATAAATATTATTTAAATATGTTTAACTATTACAAAACAATTGTTTTTATATTTTTTAGTAATATTTCTTGACACTTTTTACTATGGTGTTTTTTTAGTTCTAAATATTTATTAAATAGCTGACAGCTTCAATAGTGAATAATAACTATGTACATTATTTAGTGTAATATGAATAAATTGAATAAAAAATTAAAATAATTAGTACGAAATTGGTTTTTTTCCGTTTTTATTTTTATAGTTTATAAATATACGAATAATTGAATAAAATCCCGTGTAGCGGCAAAAAGTGTAAACAGTCTTATTAAGAACGTAGAAAAACTGAGTTTTGAAGTCAGCTAGAAGTATTTTGAATTACATAATTTAAATTAATAGTTGTTAATTTTTTTTTAGTAAAAAAAATAATTAAGGGCAGTAATTCATTACTGCCAGATATAGGCCTCATCAAATTTTTTCTAAAAACAATAGAGTCGTTATGAGTCATTTTTAAACAAGAAAATTATATGAACAGTATGCACAATATGAAAAAAAAAATACACTGAGGTGAAATCGTCTAGCTAGGTTATATTATTTCGGGACATCCCAATTTTTCATTTGCGAAGACCTCACAGGAACATGTCCTATTTTATGTTTGTATGTTTATGTTTGTCCAAAGCATCAGGTCCAGACTCTGAGCCGGGCCCCCTGTCGCAGCCCAACACTGTGGGCTGGGACGACACTGCGGCCGCGCAGCAACCCGTGGAGGAGAAGCAACCAGAGATTAAACGATTCATGCTGTCCTCCAATGTGGATGTAAGATAATTTTATGTATTTTTTATTTATGTATAATGTTTTATGTTGTATTTATTTTATTTACTAGCTTTCGTGTATGACTGTTCGTGTCGAATCCAGTTATTGATTTTAAACTAAGTTTAAGATGAGTTAGACTTTTTAAATTTTGAACATCTCAGAATCGGCTTCCGGATTTTTAAGACGTCGTTTTTAAAAATTTCATTGGTTGAAAAAACCTAAAACTATTACAAGCAAAATTTGAAAACTTGCATTAACTCATGCTTTGTATTGTAGTGTTTTGTCCTCATTAGAGTCCTTAGTGAAGTCCAACGAAACGCCTGTCTTTTGTATTTTTTCTTACTGGAATTATTTTTATTAGATTATAGTGGTGTAAAACGATATTACCTACTCACAAATTTTATTTAGGTTTGACGTGAACCACACCTAATACAAGCATTTTCAAGATTACATCTATATGGAGTGGTTAAAAGGAGCATCTGTAATGTTAATAGAGCTACTAATATTTGTGGTCCTCCAGTAGTCGACATTCGGCCTTAATCATTAAAATGTAAGTTGTGAAAGTGAAATACTTTCAACTGCGTATTAATATTTAAACACAAATATCTGATATACACTCCATCGAGTAGACTATTGAAAAAAGAACATTACAAATCACAAAATGCACAGCTTATTGAGTTAATCTGCTTGTAATTATTTTTCTGGTAACGTCTTAAAATTCTTAGGCGACAACCTTTACTCTGTGCGCTTGTTCAACCATATACTGCCATGTGTTTGATAATTGATATTGGCGGCAAGAATGTAACGTTTGAACGTTTTTTTGTCTGCTATATATTAAAAAAATATATTAAAAATGGTTGGCCCATAAGAGTACCCTTAACCGACGAGCGTGTATGCGTAGATATATGGATGTGGAGGAAGCGAGAGAGGTGTGTCAGGATCATGCTAAATGGAAGTCTGTAGCCTCTGCCTACCCCTCTGGGTGACAGGCGTGAGTGTTGTATATATTATGTATGTATATATAATATGTTGTTAGCTTTCTGCACTGCTCCTCCAATATAAACTTTGAATATACTAAATCTCACATTCCTTCGAGTGCGCAATATGCTTTGAAAGGTGAAGTCAAAGTTTTCTCTTTACGTAATAATATTAGGTCCTGAGAACTTAATTTTGTTTCTATATGCTTTTTCTATTATTAAGAATAATCACCTATGCAATCGATGCATCTTTGCCAACATAGTGGCAGTTTATTGATATCCTTGTTGAAGAAATCAGTTGGACGGAAGGCAATAAATTTTTGAAAGGCGTTTTGTATTGCCTCGGGTATTGATTTTATTCCGACCAAAAAGTTATCCAAATTCTGGAAAAAGTAGAAGTCATTTGGCGCAAGTTAATTTCACGTTTCAATGTTTATTTACTCTGTGTGCTTATCTTAAGCGATTTAATATTACGAGTTCAACATTTATGCTTTTTTAAAGATTTTTAATGAAAATGGAGGATAATAGTGTTCCTTGTGATGAATTGAAGTGTGTTAAAGTGATAATCGGAGAGGAAATCTTTAAACTTTGTTGAGATAATACATAAGGTTAAGAGTGTATTTCAGACTTATCAATTATCGCAATAAAACAGCTAATGGTATAATTAAAACGTTCACCAACATTTTACGTGGACGTAATTAAATCTTTCCATAGGAAAGCGAGACGATTCCACTTATCTTATCTCTTATCCATTAGAATGTAAATATTTTTTTTCATATTATACCGGCGCTAAATCATCAAATAATGACCATCACTTTTCTAGGGGTAAGTTTTCGCTTTGGGCATTGTTTAGGTGCTGAACCAGGATTCAACCAAATAGCTGAGCGCTTGCGATTGTCAAACAGAATCCATTTTTCGTTGCAGGTAACAATGCGGCTCAATTCAATAGTTTGTGTGCCTGTTGAACAGTGCAAGGCACGTCTCGACGCGTACTGCGCGTTGGCGATCATTGAGTTCGTGGGGCACCCATTTGTCAAGCTTTTTTATCTTGCCAATTTGACGCAAATGGACCAATACTGTTTTGATGCTAACGTCGTAGGCTGCTCTTAATTCAGCCGTAGGTTATCATCAGCTTCCACAATTGCCTTTAATTTGACATTATATAGTGGTAGAGCCATGCTGCAGTTATGTTAGTAGTATTAGCACGAATGTGTCGGCCCTATCGGACTATGTGCTCTTTTGTCACCCTATCCTATAAAAAAATGTCGACCAAAGTTTTCGAACGACCATGGGGTTCATTTTTCAGGTCGAAATTTCCAGGAAGCGGTCAAAACAATAACAGGTGGCGTATTTGTTTGTCTTATTCGCTCCGTAAACGTCGCGTGTTGATGTTGTGTATCGCTTGTGCCGTGTTGCTGCCACGATGGTCTTTTCCTGGGCAGCTCTGCGTTTCCTGGGCCTGGTGTGATGAAGATTCTGGCCAAATGTGTCCAATATTTTCTTTTTCAACAGTTCATGTATGGAAAATTAAGCAGAGAAATGAAATCTTATTTACTGCCGATAACGGAGCGCGTACGTAATGTGTACCGTCAAAAGCGTTGTTGCTCCAGTGCTGAGATGAACCCTGTGAAGCTAGATGGCTTGCAAGATGTCAAGACTGCAGACGATATCTGCTCGGGAACGAATGGGTGGGGTACTTTATGACGATGCTTGAAGTTGAAGTTTCTTAAGGTTGCTTTGTTGCGTGTTCAAATCACGTCGGTTGGTGACCACTGTGGCCGTGGAAGGAAAAAGGGAGATCTCCTGCCGGGAAAGGTATTCTGTTCTGTTTTTACTTCGGAGCTTTGATACAGTGATTTGGGCTTCGATATGTTTTTGCTTGTGGCGCGACGACAGCGCCGCCACATCACTCCCCCGCCCAGACCGTAGGTCGATGGTGCAGTCTAGTTGTCGACGAATATGCAAGTGCCTTGTAGTCTGCGGTAAGTCGAGAAGAAGGCAAGTAATCTGCGACAGTGCCGTTAAGCAGAGGTGAACAGTAAGGCTTAGAGCCGTGCCGAACATTGTAGCGCAGAGAGTAGCTTGAAGAAACATAATATAATTATTTTTTGGTCCTTCGAGCCAAACTCATACTCCATAATTACTCGAATTCTCAACGTATCCATAATGACGAAAAATATTCTAATGCGATGAAATCATAACGCTAATCAATAAACAAATGACTAATTTTGAAAAAAGAATTACATGTTTTCAAAATGAAAGAATCATGCCCACTTTCCATACATTTAAAAAACTGATACTGAAAGTTTCTGTATAGTTATAAGGTATAGTAGAAAATCTGCGTGTAAGTTTAGAAAATAATGTTATATAGTCATTTTTACGATTTAAACGCTACGAAGCCCAAAAAATATTAATGTTACTATTTGGGTTAGAATTTGCCGTTACCAAATAGGTAATAAAGAAATAAATGTGCTCGAACTTACACTTACTTATACAAAGACTAATAAAGAAATAATTGTGATTAAATGAAAAATAAAGTAATTTATAAAACTCAAAAACAGAGTTGAATAAAGTAACGTAGCAGTGTGTAAAATGGAACGTCCTAGAAAAAGGGTAGTTGAGATGTGTTCAAAATATAGTAATACCCTTGACGTAGAAAAAGCTTAAAGAAACATTAAAAAATATTTTTCCTGCGTTTCTTTTAACATTGTGATAAGCGTTATTAATTTACAATTTAATTAGCTGAATTTTAAGATTTAATTCATTTCTATAAATAGTCTTTCTTTATTTGGAATTTGAATGCTTAGCCTAACAAAAATGATTGAGATTTTGATTTGAAATGACCATTTCAAATCAAAATCTCATAGGTATGGGTAATATAATAAATATATTTGTTTATAATATATATATATATATATATATATATATATATATATATATATATATATATATATTTATAAATTTATTTCGTATTAAAAAAATCAGCACTTATACCTTTAGTACACCTACGCGTTCGTATGCGGCAGCCAGTCACTGCGGAACTACTGCCGTAGCGAAATATCTGCACAACGTGAAATGTACTAAACACTGTAGTTTTTTCGCAAAGAAATGTCATTATAATTTTCGTGGATTGTGGGTACAGACGTCATTTAAAAATGTGGTCCGGGTCGTCCCAGTCATCGTTTTCAGAGAAGAGGAAGAATTATTGTTGCTGGCGTGTCATTGTTAAAACGAAAATGCAAAATCAGGGTGCATTAAATAAACCGGAAATTAAGGAAACTTGGAGAAAATAAACAACGCAGAGAACTTATATCACATGATGATCGTTTCTATACCTATTTCATGAAACAAATAAACTTTTGAACATTAACACAATCTTCTTGAACCTCATATTAAAAAGAAAAATACAAATTACAGGCAGGTTATTTCAGTCTTTTTTTGAACTTTTCTCCATGACACCTCTTTTTTGTACGCATTTATATTTCTACGAGCTTGAGGTTCGTGAAAATAAAAACTGCCGATTTAATTACCAAAATTTACACTTTAATTCACTTTACACTAATTAAAACTTAAAACACTAATAATTAACCACACTGATTCGCTTTATTTCGCTCCGAAGCTTCGCTTGTCTCGCCAAATTCAATACTTCCCCGATCGCATCTTGCAGCGCCTTTAAATACACATTATCACCGAAACATCCAGAATATTCAAGTAAATACGCGCGCCAATCGATTAGGCGCCGAAAGTTCGAGTGTCGGGCTTCTAGAAGCTTAGTTCTTCGTTTCGATACTAGATGGCGCTGTTGGTTGAAAGATTAGTGATGTCATTTTCTGGAGAGCTCCCTCGCTCTCGTTCCCGTCACTAGATGGCGCTAGTGACGGGTACATGACGTCAACTTAGGCGCGCAACACTGCCCCCTCCTAAGACATGCTCGTCCCGAGCAATATCGGCCCCATAATAACGCGCTAGGCGATCCACATGGACGATCTTAGGAGACCTTCTTGCGCCTTTCTGTAACGGCTCCGCAATGTCAAGGGCTGTCCTATCCCATGGTGCACCAACATTGTACAATTTCGATGCTCCTCTACTACGTGTCTGAGGTCCCCTCAACAGCCGCACAACTTGTACATGTACGACACCAATCCTCGACATCGTCACGATAATGGACCCAGTAAAACTGTTCTCGGACCTTCAGTAGAGTTTGTTTAACCCCCAGATGGACTCTTGAACGACCATTATGGCACAGCTGTAGAACATTCGGCACTTTAGATTTAGGCACAACCATTTGCAAACGACAGCTGTCCCCTCGACCATTGTCCCATTTACGGCACAGGACTCAATCCTGAATCAGCAAGCTGTCCCATTGGGCCCAATAGCTTTTCGTGGTTGAACTCATCGTTGAGACGTCGCTCGACTTAGGCCTTGGTAGCACGGGCCTTCATCTATTCCAGAATCGGCTTGATCTCCGGATCTTCCTGCTGTGCATGTCGTAGGCTGTCCTTCCACTCGTTGCTGAGGTGGTCTGTCCTGAGCATCCTCACGGATACCACTTCCTTACTCTCTTGCCTAGTACAATGTTTCCAATCTTCAGGACAAGGTCTTCTTGACAATGCATCTGCGTTGCCATGAGATTTCCCGCTGCGATGTCTGATAGTAAAGTCGTATCCCGGTTGCTGCTGGGCGGTGATGTTAGCCGCACTTTCCTTTTGAGATCGTTCACCTTCCCTTTCTACGGTTCGCTTAGGGCAGCTAGATCGAAGATGGCCCTTTTCCCCACAGCCATAGCACCTAGGGCTGAATCCTTTGTTGCGGTCGCGAACTGTAGCTGCTGCAACCTCCCTGACGCGATGACGTGTTCCAGTTGAGCGTCGCCATATCTCTCCTCCAATGCCTCAAGGAGTTGCTCATAAGTCATTTCCTCACCGAGAGCTTCCAGAACTGTTAAGGCCTGGTCGCGCAGGCCTAGTGTGAGAGCAGTCATGGCCTGACTTTTATTACAGCCGTTCGCCTTCATAACAGTCTCGAACTGGATTTTGTAGGCCGACTAGGAAGAAGTCCCGTTGAACGGTGGCACCTTGAACCCACGTAGCGAAGGTGTTGTAGCTACTACGGGAGCTGTAATTCCATCCCCCAGTTTGAGGTCGTCCAGCGTTTTCTTCACGTCAGCTATCACGTAATCAACCCGATTGTTCGCTTGGTCGATTTGGGTTTTAGCTTCCTTGATTTGGGTTTCAGCTTCCGACAGGCGGTTGTCATGTTGAGCAACCCTATCCTTCACCTCCCTTATCTCTTTCCCAAAGGTAGCATGAAGGTCCTTCATAAGGAGCATCTGCTCTTTCAACCGACGGACCTGTCCCTCTTGTCCGCCCCGCAGCTGCTCTTCCAAACGACGGACCTGTTCCTCTTGTCCGTTCTGCAGCTGCTCTTTCAACTAAAGGACCTGTTGCTCCTGTCGGCGGACCTGTTCATCCTGTCCACCCCGCAGCTGCTCTTCCAACCGACGGACCTGTTCCTCCTGTTGGCTGGCCCTCCGGCATCTGCGGCGTTGCACCACCAAATCTTCTTAACAAACAATATAATCTACGGTACCCAACTGCATATAATTTTGCATAATTTAGAATTAAATTCAAAAATATTTCAATATTTTCGGCTTCCATGGTGCGAAAATCTGTCCTCACCGACAGAACTCATGCGTACGCGTTGCGATGCGAAACACCACTAGCAAAACATCTATGTCTGTGTAACGACGATTTCGCGGTTCCTTGCGAAACAATACCGACAAGGACGCAACCATTTAACCTATTGCAGTGCTAGAGAGAGACATAGTATATGCGAAACTTTGAAATACTACTGACAGTTTTTTCGTTGTTTCGTAGCCGCGTACGAATGCGTAGGTGTACTGAAGGCGTTAAAACTGCTATAAACATTTCAGTGGTGTCGGCGAGGATTGAATCCAATTTAGTGGTAAATAATTAAATATAATAAGTTCCCATTGCTCTAGAACCGCGAGGAGATAACGTGTATGATCCTACACCTGGGTGGAGCGGTTTCCGAGGGCGCTGAGCTGGACCCCCTTGCGACTCATCTGCTTTGCGCGGCGCCGGGCCGCAGCGAGAAGATGCTGGGCTCCGTGGCGGCCGGGCGCTGGGTGTTGCACCCCGCGTACGTGGCGCGCAGCAGGGCGGCCGGCACCTTCCTGCAGGTGAGTGCAGCAAGTGCAGCGAAGAGACGCTGCGCTCCGTGGCGGCTGGGCGCTGGGTGCTGCACTCCGCGTATGTGGCGCGCAGCAGGGGGCCGGCACCACCCTGCAGGTGAGTGCAGCAAGTGCAGCGAGGAGACGCTGCGCTCCGTGACGGCCGGGCGCTGGGTGTTGCACCACGCGTTATTGGCCCGCAGCAGGGCGGCCGGCACCTTCCTGCAGGTGAGTGCAGCAAGTGCAGCGAGGAGACGCTGCGCTCCGTGGCGGCCGGGCGCTGGGTGCTGCACCCCGCGTATGTGGCGCGCAGCAGGGGGCCCGGCACCATCCTGCAGGTGAGTGCAGCAAGTGCAGCGAGGAGACGCTGCGCTACGTGACGGCCGGGCGCTGGGTGTTGCACCACGCGTTATTGGCCCGCAGCAGGCGGCCGGCACCTTGCTGCAGGTGAGTGCAGCAAGTGCAGCGAGGAGACGCTGCGCTCCGTGGCGGCCGGGCGCTGGGTGCTGCACCCCGCGTACGTGGCGCGCAGCAGGGCCGCCGGCACCTTCCTGCAGGTGAGTGCAGCAAGTGCAGCGAGGAGACGCTGTGCTCCGTGACGGCTGGGCGCTGGGGGCTGCACCCCGAGTACGTGGTGCGCAGCAGGGGGCCGGCACCATCCTGCAGGTGAGTGCAGCAAGTGCAGCGAGGAGACGCTGCGCTCCGTGGCGGCCGGGAGCTGGGTGCTGCACCCCGCGTATGTGGCGCGCAGCAGGGGGCCGGCACCATCCTGCAGGTGAGTGCAGCGAGGAGACGCTGCGCTCCGTGGCGGCCGGGCGCTGAGTGCTGCACCCCGCGTATGTGGCGCGCAGCAGGGGGCCGGCACCATCCTGCAGGTGAGTGCAGCGATGAGACGCTGCGCTCCGTGGCGGTCGGGCGCTGAGTGCTGCACCCCGCGTATGTGGCGCGCAGCAGAGGGCCGGCACCATCCTGCAGGTGAGTGCAGCGAGGAGACGCTGCGCTCCGTGGCGGCCGGGCGCTGAGTGCTGCACCCCGCGTATGTGGCGCGCAGCAGGGGGCCGGCACCATCCTGCAGGTGAGTGCAGCGAGGAGACGCTGCGCTCCGTGGCGGCCGGGCGCTGGGTGCTGCACCCCGCGTACGCCCGCACTTTATATATCCTCGAAATACTTTATTCTTGAAACATTTATGGCCTGGCCACGGGGAACGGCGGCGCGAACGGCGAAGCGACAGGCGGGGCGACAATTCGCGCGGCGCGATTTGAGCGCCACGGGAAGTCACGTTTGCCGCCGCGACCAGATAGGCCGAGAGTGAAATGTCTTTATCAATCTTTATCAATCTCGATATTGCTTAGAAAGTAATTATTTATTGTTTCAAGACATAAAATTTGGAAGAGATTGCGGAGTACATGATTTGAATAGGAAACGGGTTTTAAATGGAGAATTCCACAACAAATACTCGTAGAATGCGTATAGAAAAAAAATTCGAGTAAATACCAGAATGAGTGTCGAAACCTGCGATTACATTCTTGTAATATTCAACCAGAATTGGAGATAAAAGTTAATGCGGATGGAATTCTAGGGTGTTTTTGTCGGCCCGGCATTTTTCGCGGCGAAAACAACTAAAATATTTTGTTCCCTATACTATTCGCCGGTTTACGCCACGTCTGCCGCCCGACTTGGCGACTTGCACCGTATACTGATTCATACATTTGTTCAGTCGTCCGCCGCGCAGTCAGTCGCCCGCGCGATTCGCCCGGTAAATTTCGCCGCTACGCGTGGCCTGATCCATACATTTCTATACATTTGTTTTAGTCGTTAGACGCTTCGCCGTTCGCGCCGCGTGAATTTTTAATGTCCCGTGGCCAGGCTGTTAGGTGTCCGCATATTATTTTGATTTTCGTTTACCGTTAGCGCCGCGTGAATTTTCGCTACGGCGAATGTCCCGTGGCCAGGCTGTTAGGTGTCCGCATATTATTTTGATTTTCGTTTACCGTTAGCGCCGCGTGAATTTTCGCTACGGCGAATGTCCCGTGGTCAGGCTGTTAGGTGTCCGCATATTATTTTGATTTTCGTTTACCGTTAGCGCCGCGTGAATTTTCGCTACGGCGAATGTCCCGTGGCCAGGCTGATAGGTGTCCGCATATTATTTTGATTTTCGTTTACCGTTAGCGCCGCGTGAATTTTCGCTAAGGCGAATGTCCCGTGGCCAGGCTGTTAGGTGTCCGCATATTATTTTGATTTTCGTTTACCGTTACCATTACAGCCTATCAAAGTCCACAACTAAATCTCTTTTATAGATTAACTCTCATAATTTCAACGCTTGGTAACCGCAGTTTTTTTTATTTTTTAGTTATTACTAACTTACCAGGCAGACGTCTGCCCTTTTCGACGACTCTTTGTCATGTTCTATTAAAAATCCTTAAAATCGCAAAAAAATTCACTCATGGGCAAAAAACTATCGTATCTCTCAAGTTGAACTAAACTGCACACGGTATGCAAATTTGATTTAAATCGGTTTAGTAGTTTAGGAGTCCATCGCGGACAAACAACGTGACACGTAATTTATATATATTAAGATTAGGAAGACGCTGCTGTCCATCTCCTAGTTTGCTTTCCTGTGTCGCCGCTTACGACGCCTTCACAATGAGATGTATGTATATACACCGTCACTACACCGTATTACGTGGTGCCTGGGAGGCTTGTAACGAGCAAACAAAAAAGCATTCGTTGTTAATCGCAGGAGGAGGACTTCGAATGGGGCAACCCGCGCGCCAGCTGCCTGCCGGAGCTATCCGGAGCTGAAAAGACCCTAGCTGAGGCCGCGCACCGCTGGCGGGCGTGCCGCGAGTCGGGGCGGCCGGGTCCTTTCGCGGGCGTGGTGGCGCTGCTGCACGTGCCCGCCGCCCGGCGCCGCCTGCTGGCGCGCCTCGTGCGGGCCGGCGACGGACTGGCGCCCGATGACGAGTGAGCACAGCCCTGCTTCTTGATAAAACCACTTATATGAATTTTATTGCGTTTAATTAACTTATTTTTAATTCCCGACGTTTCGGGTGCTTAACAACACCCATGGTCACGGGGGGCGGGGGAGAGGGGAGGCCTGAGATGTTTGTCCCAACGTCATAGTTAGCCCGGCTACCTTCAGTTTTTGAATATAAATTTTTGGTCCGATCCACGCACAACGAGCTTACTGAATCTTGAATCCCAAGCATTACTTGTTTTTCATTCATTCACTATGCAGAGCTGGAAAAAGCCGTGCTTACGTGACAGTCATGCTGCAGCTATATAACTACCATAGTTGTAACACGAATGGGTCGGCTCGACCAGGGAAGAACCATGCGCTTACAGAATACAAACATAAATAACAGCTCAACAACGCTGTGTTTCATATGGTGAGTGTAGAAAACCGGTAACCCTTTTTACTGGATACGCGGCATTCCATCTTAGTTTTTAGGGGATCTCTATTTTGATTAGTAATTGAAGATTCTGCCCGCGACTGATGGTGTACTTAATGCCGCCAGCTAAACTAATTTTTTTTCTTAATTTAATCTTATTATTAGCAAACGACAGTACGCCCTTAAGGCGACACCGCGAAAAAAATGCACCTCCTTTCATCGAATAGTATAGGACTAGGACTATGACACCACTAACGAAAGCGGTATTTTGATATAAGTAAATTCATGTCTTTGTCTTGAATTTGCTTGTTCAAAAACACGATTGTATAATTTTGACTCGATCATAATTATTTGCGAAAACACCTCTAAAAATCACTATAGTTGAAATTACAACGAAATTACTTAATCTATATGCTTGGTAATCACTCAAATATATTCATAACATCAATATTGATAATTTACTTGCTCATTATTTTGATTACTGATTTTGATATTTGATTTTTAAAAGATTTTCTCCTTCCGAATCTTATTTCGATTTAATAAAAAAAAACGTCTATAATACTTGATTATATAAATATATCACTTCTAACAGAATAATATAATGACATTATAGTTACGTGAATATATTATATTATAGCACAAGATATTTAAAACATTAAAAAGTAAAGTAAAGTGACAGCATATATAAGTCCCACTGCTGGGCTCAGGCCTCCCCCTCATTTCTGAGGGGGTTTTAGGGCAAGGAAGTGTCCGCCGCGCTGCCCCAATGCGTGTTGGCGAACTTCACATGCCTTCGAAATATTTTTTTCTTATTCCTCAGACATGCAGGTTTCCTCGCGATGTTTTCCGTCACCGCCGAGCACGTGGTAAATCAGCACTTAAAATTGCAATTAACAATTTCATTGGTGCCGGCGGGGTTTGAACCCGGGTTACTCGCGTTCTGTTATATTTACAGCGAGCGTTAACCATCTGAGCTACCACGGCTCTTTAAAACATTAGTTAACAAATATTTAATTTTTTATACAAAAAGCCTATTCAATAAAGTAATATAATTAAATAAATATATAATACTACTAACTACTTATTATAATACTCTACGAACTACTTATATAAATATATCACTTCTAACAGAATAATATAATAACGTAATAGATTTGTAAATATATATTATAGCACAAGATATTACGTATGTATGTGTAATTATGCAAGTATGTAATGCAATGCAATGCAAGATTAAATGCTACTGAGGAGTACCACTCAAATACTGATATTGTAGGATGCAAAATGAAACACTGTTTATCGTGAGGCCGTGCTAATGGTACTGAATTTATTATAAGAACAATAACTTCAAACACGAGCACGCGCTCCAATTTCGCTAACTTAAAATGTACGGGTTTTTACAACGTATATATATAATTTAAATAAAATATTAGTTAACAAATATAAGTAATTTTATATTTCTCTCTTTGTAAATTATTAATAAATAATTCTAAACGCAACCTAAATATTGATTTTACGACTATGTGTACTAATACACTTTGCCCATTTTTTGGGGAAATCATCATTTACTTGCATACATTACTCATTTGCTTGTGTGCGTGCGGGCAAACGTAATTACAGGCCGCTTATGCACACATTCATTGTGTTGTTGCTTCAACTTTGAACGGAATTTTGAATGACACTATCACTCTAAGTCTAATTACTCTATGATTCTGACAATTTCAAAGCGCTTTTAATCGTCGCGGGCGCTACGCAATTTTAGACCTTACGACGGCGTTTTTTCAAGTGTTTATAGAAATTATGTATTCACTCGGATCAGTACGGCGATAGTCTGGAGCCACATTTTCGATGTGTCGTCTTAAATGAAATGGGTATTTGTCGCTCATTGGCGACAATCATGCTATTATTCTAACGCGCTTGTACTTCATTTCAAATTATCCACCGGCGAATAATGATTACCAAATCTCAGTTAAAAGTATTTAATATATAAAAATACGTGTGGCACTCGGTGACTGCCGCGGTAAAGTTATTGCATAGCATTTTTTATCAACTTATGCAATTATAATTATTTATTTATTTTATTTATGCAGTTAAGTCTTTGATATTAAATCAAGTTACACTTTTTGAGCGTGGTGACCGATAAGAAAACAATTTTTTCTCTCTTATTGAATAAATGAGAAGTTAATATTGTTTAAAATATTTTTAATATCTTACAATACATGTAGGTTATTCAGGAATTTTTATCATTGAGTTAGCAGCTAGTGTACACGCATACGTCTAGTCGCACGCACACCACGTGCCGAAGTCTGCCGAGTGCCGAAGTCTGCCGAACTGAAACGGCGTTAGACGATGCACGGCTTTCAACGCCACACCTCCGTGCCCGTCGGAGTGGGGAGCGTGAGGTTTTTTTCGTTACGGAATTTCTGGATTCGGTCCCCGCGCTCAAGGCCCGCGATAGAAGCTATGCAATAGCTTAATAAATATTCAGCTTAAACTTAGTAAGATCTAATATTTTTAAAATCCTATATTTATTGTATCTATCTATAATGTATTTTTCAAAAAGAGTGTTTTGATAGCATATAATATTTATTGTAGTAGTAGACCGTGGGAGATCGACCGTCACCCTTCTGATAACCAGATGAGACCTATTTTTTTTAATGAAATTTTATTGATTTATAAACACGCCTATAAAATGTTTCTAAATTATATATACTTACTAATATTTTGCTAATATGCTTCGAAGTCCATTACACACATCCTCAATATGATGTTTCCAGCTGAGTCGACCATCTATTATAAGTCCTAAGTAAGTTTGAGTTTCTACCGGCTCTAATTTTTTTTTTCAAAGACAATGACAATTGAACATAGGTGCATAGGTGGTCATGCACAATAATGCTAGGTATTACTTTACTCCTATTATGATTTGAACTAATATACATAGGTGAGTAAGAAGATAAGATGTGCACTCTCGACGATGTGATTGACACAGTCGCAGACTCTTTAATGATTCATGTCAGCGATGATGATGATGATGAAGATAGTGATATTAGTATTAATGATGATTAAAGATTTTAATAAAAATATGTTATCTTTACTTGTGCGTTTTTTACCGTTTGTGATGAAAAGGAACGTAATTATCACTCGCTGTAAAACCATTTTTAATGTGGAGCACCGCACTTAATAAAATGGTTACATTCACTAACAGATAAAATACTAAATGACTGAGAAATTCAGACTCGTATTGAAATGGAAAAATGTGCTCGGCTCAAAAGGGTTTGTAATCTCTGACATGTCAAAAATGGTAGCTTTCAGAATTCTAATGAATGAAAAAGCAGACTATAGTTCGCTAATGAATAAGTTTTTACTATTTTTAGGTGGGCGGTACACGGCACATATGTCTGCGGAATAACCCGAATGGGAGGCGATTGTACATAAAATACTTTCAAAATGTTCCGTAGTGATGTTTTTAGTTGTAATCTGATGTTTAGACTGCCGCCTCCCCTTCGGGCTTCGCGTAGAGAAGTTAACATTTGATATCCAGGGATATGAAATAGGCATTTAATACCTCCTTTATATTAGAGTTACGATATGAGGTAGTGTAAATTAATTCCTACACCAGCACTTTACAGAGAAGCTATAAGGTAGAAAATTTATTCTTTTTAGTTTGTTGTTAGTTCTTACACGGTACCATTAATTTATCCATTAATTCATACGATCATTGAAAGCCTTGCCATAGGCCTCTTCATGGATTGCCACATAGGGGAATATTTGCCATATGCCAAGCTTGGCAAGTGGGTTGGCAACTGTTGTTTTTTATTATTATGAGTTGAGGCCTCCCCAGAGATTGCTTCTTAGGGGAATATTCCTGTCGCCAAACTTGGAAGTAGGGTTGGCAACTTCTGTTTTTTATTATTATGAGCCATATAATCCATCTAGAGCTATCAGGAAAATGCTGCTGCCTATCTCCTGTATAACTTCCCTCTTTCGCCTCTTACGACACCCACGGGATAATATAAGGTAGTGGTTTTCCTGTGCACATCCCCAGTGAGAAGATAAAAATAAATTATTTTAAATTGTTGGTGTTGCTGTCGATTCCAAAACCCCTGAAATGATGCACTCTTTTATAAAATTTCTAAAATATTAAAAAATGTGTATTATAATGTTTTATTAACAAATAATTCCCTTCAACAGGCCTCCATACAATAATGAAAATATAACGGTCTGCTTCGCCGATATCAAGCGTTATCCACTATCAGAGAGGGACTCTACTTGGCTCAAATCAAGGAAGATTCCCGTCTGCCCGCCAGTCCTACTTAGTTCCTATCTCACCGAAGAAACCAGACCGAACCCGGAACAACACTGTTTGCCTGAATTCAGACCTAAATAGTCTAAATGTAAAAATGTGTATTATAACAAAAATAAAATTGTTACTATAGAATCAATAGTTTCATTTTGAATTTATTGTGCTACCAAACATATTTGAAATAACGAGGGTTGACTTCACTCATCTCTCATGGACTCATAATTTTTTCGTGTTGACGCTAGTACAGGTCTTCGGCGCTGCGATTTAAGAACGATTTTCAACTAACAATATCTTCAAATTTGTCTACGAATTAAAGTTATAAATTTAAAGTTACATTCTATATACGTCCCAATGCTGCGCACAGGTTTTCTCTCATTTGAGAGGGTTTTAGGGCAAGGAAGTACGTCCGCCGCGCTGCCTCAATTCGTGTTAGCAACTTCACATGTCTTCAATTTTTTTTAATTATTTCTGAGACATGCAGGTTTCCTCACGATGTTTACCTTCGCCGTCGAGCACTTGGTAAATCAGCACTTAAAATTGTAATAAACAATTTCATTGGTGCCGGCGGGTATCGAACCTGAATTGCTTGTGTACTGTGAAATTTACAGCGAGCGCTACTATCTGAGCTACAACAGCAAATTTGTCTACTTATTACAGATTAAAAATTATTTGTTATATGGCTTTGTTCATCAACAAGTCTTTCCATAAATATCAATACTTATGGTTCGGTTATGTTCCTGACAACACAGTGAATTACACGGCATCACAAAATCACAGTATATAAATCCATACAGTAGTCCGACGAAAACGTCTAGACAGGGCAATCGTGCGGGGCGAGACGCGGGAAGGACGAGCCCGAGTTGCTTATGCCAATCTTATTAGTAGCTCGGGACACGACTTTCAGGGTTAACACGTGTTTGCTTTTATTGTTGTTAAATTTTTGTAGGTACTTATAATTAAAATGGTGGATAAGACGTGTGCTGTGACAGATTGCAATTCATCATCTCGCATAAATAAGGATCTGCGATTTGACCAAATTCCGCACACGGAAGAAAGGTAAATAAATGTTATTATTATTATTTTACATTGTGTATATTTCGTTATGTCACGCGTACATAAAAAATAGGTACTAGTCGCTGGGCATGTGTTTTCGAAGTTTGATTTTTTTTTTATCCAAATCGTGTGGTTGAACAGGCTAAGGTCTTACCGTGAGTTTCCACTGACGCGATTTTCATAAAAAACATGTTTTAAACACTGTATTCTGTCAATGTATCAAAAAGCGTTTGCATAGTTAAAGAACATGTTGTAGTGAAATATATTTGACAGTTTATTGTACATTTAAATATTTTAACTAAGTATATTGTATCTTCATAACTACAGAAACAAAATGTTTGAAAACAAATTTGTAGAAACATTGTCATGTTGAAAGATGAGTTTGAATATCTGTTGAAAATTTTACACAGTTTTTGTGTGTGCGAACGCCACCATCAACAAAACATGTTGTGTGATTTATTTTATGCGATTTGGTTCAAAACATTACGTGTTGTATGTTTCTCATTGCAAACGTGCTGTTAGACCATACTGTAGTGCCTCCTCTTCGGTCTTTTGGAGTTATAAAATATTAAGGCTTAGGGGTCAATTTTTAGGTTTGTCGGGGTGCTAATTACGAAAATAGCATTTATTTTTAAATCCGTATTTTTAAATGGCGGTCATTTTTTAATATAATATGTATGATATGGATGTCAATTTCGAGGTTTCGTAGGGTGCTGATTACGGAAATCTTATCGATGTGAACTTTGAGGTTTCTCGGGGTGATTATTAAAAAAACGCCATTCATTTTCATATTCAAGATGGCGGAGTCTTTTTTAAAATATGATATGGGTATCAATTTCGAGGCGTCTTGGGGTGCTGATTAGAAAAATAGAATCTATTTTGAAATCCAAGATGGTGGAGTTTTTTTTAAATAATATAATACGGATGTCAATTTTGAGGTTTCTCGGGGTGAAAATTACGGAAATTTATTAATAGGTATTCCATTTAAAAATTTCAGATATAAATCATGGATGGAAGTTATTAGGAGACCTGATTTAGTTGGAAGAACTTTCGAAAGTCTAAAGGATACATACATTTGCAGTTTGCTTTTCGAAAAGAGTACGCACGGGAAGAAATCACTCAAGAAAACAGCTATACCAACGTTAATTTTACCATGCAACGACTGTTGATGGCGAAGTAGATCTAAAATAAATAAATTAGTAAAAGTTGTTGATTTGTGACAACCTTAGCCTCCATGCCTTGTCTGGGCGTTGTTGGCATTAAGTATAAGATCAAAGGCGTCTTCCTACTGTATGTCTATTGTACCGTGACAAAATTATAGATATAAAAGTTATGTAAACAAACATGATTATAAGAATATTTATTTATTAAACAAAAATAAAATTCATCAACAGTTGTACTAAATTTGAATATATTATCTAGAAATACTACAAAACGACCGCTGTACAAATTTTACTAAAATAAATCCTATTTGTACTTTTTGACCATTAGCTTTATTGTTCTTTGGTCGTCTTTCGGATACTTAAGACCCGCCTCAGCCATTTCACTGAGAGACGCTTCCGCAATCGTTATGAATCCGCATCTAGTGGCCAACTTCTGTGACGATATACCGGTGAAAACCGTCGATGTTGCTTTTATTCCCAGGACGTTAGAAAGAGGCTCTCTGCAAATCAAACACATAATAAAATCAATAAAATAACTCGAATATAAAAATATATATGTCAGAGACAGAGATTACAAGATAAAGAGAAGAGATTATACGTGTTACAGCCATGCTGCAGTTATATTAGTAGTATAGTTGTAGCACGTATGGGTCGGCTCGACCGGGGAAGAACCACGCTCTCACAGAATACCAGCGTAAAATAGTAGCTTAATGCTGCTGTGTTTCGTATGGTGAGTGTAGAGAACCGGAGACCCTTTTTACTGGAAACGAGGCATTCCATTTTAGTCCTCACGGGTGACAATGCATCTGCATTTTGATTTGCAATCGAGGATAGATGTAGGTGTCTATGGGCCGCAGCAACCACTTACCGTCAGGTGGACTGTGTGCTCGTTTGTCACCCTATCCTATAAAAAAGAGATAAATAGAAGTGAGGGTACAACTCCAAACCTCAATTTATTTAAGCAGTACGATGTGTTCGGCCTAAAATCTATCAAATCCACTTAGATTTTTTCAATAGATTGCCCCCTTTTGGTTGGGGGATATTTGACTTAAGTGCCACGCTTGGCAGGCGAGCGTTGGTGTCAGGAAGATGCTGCTTTACACGTTTCAGTTTCGCTACATAAGTTTACGAAACATTTTTTATTTAGGATCTAAAGTTTTAGTGTGAGTAAAACACTAGTTTAGTTTTTTTAAGTTTGTCAGTGAATAATAATAGTCTTGTGAATAACCTCCTCTTTGCCATCTTTTTGTATTTGCTATCTGTGTAAAGGCGGCAAATTCATTCGTTCATCTTCTAAAGAAAAAAAAGAAAGTACCTTTATACGCCCCACTGCTGGGCACAGGCCTCCCCTCATTTCTGAGAGAGTTTTAGGGCAAGGAAATGTCGCGCAGCCCCAATGCATGTTGGCGAACTTCACATGTCTTCGAAATATTTTTTTTTCATTCCTCAGACATGCAGGTTTCCTCACGAAACAAAAATAATTACACGTAATAATTTACCTTGCATTCAGTAACCTGGCCCCAAGCTTAGCTCCTCTGTATTCTCTTTTCACTAGCAAACCGTAAGCACCCAGTAAAACATCCAGATTCAGAAACTCAAATGGATTACATTTAGTTTCTATGTACTCCAGAGAGTGATACACATTTTGCCATTCCTCACCTACTATCTGAGAACATAATGAGACTTGATGAACAGAATTTTGAAATATGAATACATCTTTGATCCCATATACTCGTAGCAAGACGGATGAATTATGGAGCTTGTGAATTCGGCCTTGTTGACAAGCTGGTAAGCGTTAGATAAAAAGATAAAAGATATTTTATTTGGCAAATATGGGTACGGTACATGGTAATATAATTATGTAGTGAGTTCAGCCATATTTTACCAGTAGGCATGCAAAATATACAGAAATATAAACTAATCACCTAAACAGCTATAACAAAATAAAATAATAACACAAAAACAAACATAATTCAGATTTTTAACATTATACAGTCTTAATGATTTCTTAAATTTACGCGAACACTACACATTGAATAAAACTATTATTTACGGATTTTATCGCGTTTAATTACTTTAATTTATTTTTATTATTATCCCGACGTTTCGGGTGCTTTACAGCACCCATGATGACGGGGGGGGGGGAGGGGGACTGAGATGTTTGACGTCCCAATGTCATAGTTAGTCCGGCTACCTTCAGTTCAGGAAGTCTGCGTCTGCAAACATGTTCAAGATCGTCCCCACCATTACATTAGATTTGATAAACCACAAATTCTCACAAAAGAACACCGATTCCTACCAAGGATGATACGCGAGGCTATTGAAATTAAAAAACATCCAAATTTCAATAGAGAAGATGGTTGGGTGCTACCATCTGCTTGGGATCCTATAATTAACAAAATTAAACCCAAACCCAAGCATACCACTGCAAGACTTCATGATACTATAAGCTCGTTTTGCGTAAATTGGACCAAAAATTAATATTAAAAAAACTGAAGGTAGCCGGACTAACTATGACATTGGGACGTCAAACATCTCAGTCCCCCCCCGTGACCATGGGTGCTGTAAAGCACCCGAAACGTCGGGATAATAATAAAAATAAATTAAAGTAATTAAACGCGATAAAATCCGTAAATAATAGTTTTATTCAATTATACAGTCTTAATCACAAAATAAAAAAAAACAGTCAAAAATTCTTTTACGCTATAGTATGCTTTGACTGTCAAGAAGTTTCGAAGCCTTTTTCTAAATATCGATAGCGGCAATTCTTTCCAACTTTTATGTATTTTATCATATATGACTGGAGCCATGCATTATATACTTTTGCGCATTAGTGCTGTCTTAGCGGATTGATGACACAAAAGCGTT